ATATATATAGCTACTGATAAAGTCGTAAAACAACCCACAAGTTATCCCCCCAAAATATCTCTTCTTACAGTGTAAAATTTCTGGCTCATTTCTGAATTCCACTTCACATATCTGCCTGTCAGTATCAATGTCTGTTGCAGCCTCCACGTAGCTAAGTTCTCAGAACTCGAACTCAGAACTGGAATGAGAAATTAACTTAACAACTGAAGTGTCCGCTTTCGAAAATATCGCCTTAAGAAATCAGTGATAACATAAATTTACACTTGTTCATGGTCATATGAGAGTGGAGGTATAGCTCCACGTATTCTTAACTTCAGCACTACGCTCAGCTGCTGTAACACCAGGAAAAGAACGCTTGTGCTGAGCCGCGTCCTCTGCTACCACTTGAGCCGNTAAGTTTAAGAACCTCGATCAAGGGGCTGGAAGCCCATGACGTCATACCGGAGCCACTGCATGGCTCAGTGCCCACACGAGATACATATAGGTCGCCTCCAGAACGGGTCTGAACGTTGCGAAAGAGAGAAAAGCTCTTCCCCCAGAGGAAATTAAACTCAGACTCATCGGTCGTCGAGTCCATAACAAATCATTCTACTGATCGGGTTATCTCCTAAGAATTTACCATGTATAAACATCCTTCAGTTAAAAGTCAAGAGACTTCTTGCGAAAGTAATTGCTTTGTCCTCGTCAGCATCCTCATGGCCTCCACTCTAACAGTCATTTTAGTCATACTTCTAGTCGACATACCTGAGATCATCACGCCTGAGGTCATGACACTGCCCGTCATCCGATTTTAATTTTCCCATCTGCAATAAACTTTTTGTATTACCTTACTTAATGAAGTCCAGATAGTAACAAACTCTTTATTCGGGATCTATTTTAATATAGCCCTCTCAGCTTCGCTTTCGGGTAAAGAATTACGTTTTCTGTTAGTCACCACTAACGAGTTCTACGTGTCCATCCCATCGCAACTTCCAGTAAATGCAGTTCTTCTAAGGAAAATTTCAATTTGTCACCACATTAAGTGAATATTAAACGAAGCGAATTGTGATTCACTGGCTATTAGGAATGTATAATCTTATGAGTTATACACAGTACCTATTGAATGTTGGCGGGAGATTGCAGCAAAAGTATATACTCCCATAAACACCGTAAAAATTGTAACGGTGCCGAAGACACACTCAACCGTGTATTGCTCTCACTGTCAGGAACAGTGTTACCTTCTGGGCCGAGCAGAACTGTACTTGCTCCTCACACCTTACTGGTTGCCTGACCTACCCTTCCAGCCTGAAGATGAAAAGCGTCATATCCCAGTCACCACTCTGAGGGCCTAAAACCCAACTACACGTAAATGCTCTCCTGTCTCTTCTTGCAGTTACCGAACCAACATGAGGAGGCTGTCCGCAGTGTTCAGGGATCAGCCCCAGACGCCCCTTGACCGCGCAGTGTACTGGACGGAGTACGTCATCAGACACAAGGGAGCTCCTCATCTCAGATCTGCAGCTGCTGATCTCTCCTGGTACCAGTACCTGCTGCTTGATGTGATACTGGTCCTCTCCACTGGCGCGCTGCTAGTCGTGCTTATCAGCTATCTAGCACTCAGGACACTGTACAGGATACTAACCAGGAAACCTACCAAAAAGGAAAAAACCAAATGATGAAACGTTATTTAATGACGAAATTTCTTATAACACGTAGGATTTGAGATTCTCAGAGCTGTGGTTATGAAGGGCTGCATCTTCTGGGGTACAACGCCATGTAGTCTGTCGACAGTCAAACCGACGTTTCGGAGGAACATGTCGCCTTCTTTTTCACGATTCAATAGTAAGCGAATCAAGAAACTCTTTCACGCTAGTTTCTTGCTTAACTTGCTTTCCAACTATGAAGACAGAGGCAACAAGTTCTTACGAAACGTCGGTCGATTATCAATGGAATGGACGGTATTATATCCAATAATGTAGAATTACTATTGAGGTAAGTTTCTACACACACACACACACATCATATTCATCACTTTGGGTGCTATTTGGGTTCGTACTGCAGTCGGGCTCACACATTAACAAACATGCGTTCACTGTTTTATGAATAATGGTGTCTCGAAGAGGACATACGCAACCGGAAACATGTCACCAGATCAATAATTTCTTTTTAGTTTAAAATATTTAAGGCTGATAAACATACTAGAATTAATACTCTCTAAAACTTTAGTATGTTAATAAAATGATTGAATTTTGGGGCATTATCCATCATCCCATTCTTTATTTTAAAATAGCGTTTCGAAGACTGGACACTTTATCTTCGTCCTAGGGTAAAATGTTCACTCAGTTGGGCCCAAGGTCCTATTTCCGGACACCAGAACCAACTCAAGACGGGACATATAGAGGGGTCAGCTAACAAACAAAATTAAAGGGGTCCCTGTGTTTAATTGAACACCGTGCCATGAACACCGATGGGTAAGTAGAGGTGTTGGTTCACACATTGCGACAGCACGTTAAGATATATGAGTACTGCGCGTGTTCTTACTGCTGCTACGAGAGTTAAGCAGACAACCCCCCCCCCCGAACTACAAGCAGTACCACTCAACACTAATGGAACTCCTGTTCTTATTACTGAAAAGTACTGACAAGTAACCACTGCAATCTGTAATGTTCTTGTCAGTAACAGAACTCTTATTACCTAGACTCGGTGCAAAACATTTCTGAACGTACTTCATACTTTGAGCATGCAGCCTTACAGAAGGGAGTTCCTGTCCTGTTTCCAGACATTAGTCCTCATCGTATGCTGGAAATAGAATATAACAGCACTGCAAGAAGTTCTGGGAAGAACTACTAGCCTATTTTCCTTTGAATGACACAGACTGGGCAGAAAACACACAGACGGCCCGTTGCCTAGCAACGATAAGGGGGACACACAGACAGCCAGATGATTTCATAATACTCTATTTATTTGTTCAAAATATGGAAAGTAGAGCAGTAATGATGACGTAACGATTTACGTCACTATTTGCAGCCTCAGTATGCTCAGTGTGCTATTGATAACGTGGCTACGAACCAGCGCCATAGGTAACTAATATATTCAGCTACCATTTTGTCAGAGTAGTATTACTCACAGCTACACGTACGCTCCTGATAAATAACCACTACACAGTCCTGTTCTGGGACGTGACGTAAGGTCACCGCATGACTCTTTATCATTGCCTGCTTGGCAACCTCACCACAATCTGTGAGCTGAGTGTCCTGAAATTGTGGGAGACTCGACGTCTCACAACCGTCTTGAACTCCACGGCCTCTTCCTGTTTATTTCTTTTTTTCCTTTTACCCGAAGATTCCTACTACATTCAACAAAGAGCGGAAAATTGCAATCATGCTAACACTGCAGGTACATATCAACATACGAAAGAGCGCTGCCTGGAAGAACCGGACGAGAAATACCACAGAAGGACGCGAAAAGAAGAACTCCTCAGGAAAGAGCAACATTTGTTATGAACGTGGGGTTCGAGGTTCTCAGGGGAGACAAGGAGAGGAAGACGCAGAAAGAGTGAGGACGCCTGCTACGATGCCTCTCCCATACCTGAGGGACAGACGCAGCAAATGTAGTCTTTTCTTTGCTTTGCGCTTGTGATCACATTTCTTTAGATGAATTCCTGTAGGTTTTGTATTTACAGATCATTTTTCAACTAGAAAATTATTTTCTTCTCTTTAAACATATAAATTTTCAGTATATATGTAAAAAGTAAGTAAAGTAAGGTAAAGGTATCCCTGTAACAGGCCATGGAGGCCCATGGGGTTGTGATATGTTGAGGCTCCCACATTTTCTAGACAATTGGCTCATAGATGGCGGTAAGGTTGTCAGCCTTACGCGCCGGCCACCCTTACCCCCAAGAATATTCCTGGTACTCATTTCTGTTACAGGTGAGTCGACCCCCTAGGCCCATACTGTGCCTGGAAGGATTAGGTCAGTTGAAAAAATCCACCTCATCGCGAACGATCCCACGACCTTCCGGCTTGTAGCATAGTGCCTCAACCAACTATGCTACCGAGTAATTTCTCAATCCCCCCCCCCTCAGATTATGCTTCTCTGAAAGTCAATACTGCGTGAAGTAAATTAACGGGGTGCCACAGGAAAGAAGTCGACACTCCGCCATTACTTGTATACCGTATCCTTCAGCTTTGTTGGGACAGAAAATAACATTTTACAATTTGAATTCTATCTCTATTTACAGTTAAACTTATTGATTTGTTGGGGTTTAACGTAAAGGCGTGAACTGCCGCTCGGACGCTGCTATCAGGAGTAGAAGAACACTGGTAAGTTAGGACTGTCGCGTGTTTTCAGCTGTGGCCTTGGAATATTAAAATGTATCCATTCATTTTTACCTACTTTTATCTGACATTTGTTATATAACATTTCTTGAACGTTATTAGTCACCATATCTCTGGGGTATACAGCCCTAATAGATATTTACTGACCTTCCTACTGCTGATATGGTGTTTTGCGAACCCTGGGAAGAAACGAAAAAAGAAAGCCAGTAATTTAGTGGACAACAGGACGTAATACGGGCAGCTTTCCCTTGCCATCTGCAAGCTTCTAATGCTCGTGAGTATTAATATTTTTTACAATCAAGGGTTAACATTTTGCAGTAATGGACGGTTTCGTCTGCCTCTGTATCTGTTTGCTGAATTACGCAGACATCATTCCAACTGCCCAGTTTACTTCAGCAAATATAGTGATTCGCTAGGAGTGAGGACGCCTGGAAGTTGATTTCCTGCTGAGGCAAGCAATGCTTGTTCCATTTGACACATGATGGGTCTCTCATGCAATGGGAACAGTACGTTCTTCCTCCGTGGTTATTGATAGATTTTCTCCAAATCTAGCATGCATATATATATATTTATTTATTTACAATTTCTTTATTAAAACCGTCACAACACAACACTATTAAGGTCAGTGCCTAGTCTGGCTCTGCTACATGTTTCGGCTATTAATAGCCATCATCAGGCAAATACATGCGTAAAAATATATATATACAGTAGAACTTGGTTATAACGTCATCAAAGGGACCTAAAAATAGTGTCGTTATAAACGAATGTCGTTGTAACCGAAATGGGCACTTCAACAGTAGCCGTATGTTAGTCACGTAAAAATCTACCAAAAACAGAGTTAAAATGTTGCATTTTTTAGTGAAATACGTAGTTAAGTACAGACTAACGTAACATTAACGTGGAATTGCCCAAATGTGTAATATCAAAGACATATTACAGCGCTTTTCACTGACAATACACACCGCACTAATACTGTATATTAAAGGTAGGCCTACTCACCAAATTACAGTAGATTACATCAAGTGTTGTGCCTTANTGTTGCTATAACCAAGTTTTACTGTATATACACCAAGGAACTGCAGTATTGATAAAATTGGATAAAATAATATTAATTATATTAAAATATTTCGCGTAAAAATAATAAATAAGATTATATAAAACAAAAGTTATAATATAAAACAAGAATAAAATTCTTCGAGTGATGCTTTACATCATCGATTCAGTCGTTGGTTTTTGTGATTTTGCTGTGTTCCCACGGACAAATTGAAGTATTCTATATTTTGTATATAATAAATTGTTTTGGAGGCTCGTGATGTAGATGTAGTAATATTAATGTTAATTATTTAGTCGGTGCCTCATCTTACAAAGTATTGTCAGTTCTGTGTGGAACGTAAACAACGACTCAAATATATAACACAACAGGATGCATGAAATGAAAACTATATATATTTATTTATTGGGGTCTAGAAAACCGAAATTAACGTCCGTGGGGATTCGTTGCGCTGACCATGAGACACCCTCTATCCGCTAAAGTTGGCACTAAATTCGCCGACAACAGGTGGTCGCTCGCTCGGAATAGTTAGTTTGTGGACTAAAACCACGGAGTTTGTACAACACAGGAAGGAATCTGCTATGATTCGTGTTCTAAGAGCTGTATGAAGCACAGATAGTATTAGCTTCCGAAAGAGCACTCCTCTCCATGGAATTGCTAGACAAGTCAATTCTTGGCATGCAATATTGAATTGTCTACGTGTATTTATACGTGCATTCTTCTTTTGTTTCTAAGGGAGCTGTGAGCATCAGGCCCGCTGAAATGCTTGGACCGCATGCCATACTGTTAATACCTCTGATGATTATATTTGCTAGGCAGGAGGCGGTGCAAAGTGAAAACATCTTGGCCCTGATTAACCTGGCGTCACCTAGTCATTACTTCTTTAACAGAGCTCTAACGCGCTCCCTTGCCGCTAGAGGCCACCAGGTATGTCTTCTTTACTCTTCCTTAATACTTGCAATATTGCAAATTTGTTATTTAAAAATGACACTGACTTTTTTTTGGCAATTTTCAGGTAACGGAGCTAGGTCGTGACACTGATAGAGGGCCTGTACCTAACCTGACGCTCATACCTCACGGAGGCTTCTACTCAGCTCTCGTGCCAGACTTCGACTTTGACAAAGATGCAAGTCAGTCAACATCGCAAACTATGGTCACTCTTGCTCATTTCGCGGCGATCAGTTGCGAAATGTTCCTTGAGTCACCAGCTGGGCAGAAGCTACTAAACTACCCCTATAATGAACCATTTGATCTCATCATTATAGAAGGGGGTTGGACCGAGTGCTTCTATGGATTTATCCCTAAGTTCGGTTCACCACCCGTTGTTGTACTCTCACCCTATGGCCTAACGCCATGGATCAGCTCTGCAACCGGCTTTCCCACCAACCCTTCGTACGAACCATTTAACTCATTGCCGTTCACAAGTCACATGACTTTCACACAGAGATTAATCAATTTCGTTACACATGTCGTCTTAAATACCATATACAAACAAATGAGTGTTCCGAAGTTAGAAGCCTTACGTAGAGAACATTTCAAAGAGACTGAGCCGTCTTTCTCCGACATCGAGAGGAACTTCAGCATATATCTAGTGAACATCTGTCTCGGACTGGACGACCCCCGGCCGCTACCCGCAAATGTAATTCCCGTCGGTGGGATGCACGTCAAAGAGAAGACCAACCCACTCCCAAAGGTAATAACAAAAATATATAGTATTCACTATTAATATTATTACCACCATCACTACTACCACTGCTTCGACTTGGAGAAGCAGGAGTAACTCGAGAAACGAGCAAGGTTCCTAGCCAATGTTACAGAGGTATTCTTCTCAGGAGGTACAGCAGTCGGAGCGTGATGCTGATCACGTTACCATTGCGAGTTCCCCCATTTTTCTTCATGTTACGACCCTCAGGCACAAGAAGGGCTTCACCCTTACGAATTTTTCTTCTTCTTCCCAATACTACTGCTGCTACTATTCATAATAATAATAATACGTCACGATAACAAAGTTAAGCATGTAAGCAATATGAGTCTCTTACAGTCCCTTACAATGAGTGCCGACTGGAGCCATACATTCTGGACCCAGTTTTCCAAAATGGAGACCGTGGAGACGAGTCATGGCGGTATGACAATTACGCGCAAGATGGCAGAAATGTCACTCTCTAATTCCAGAATAACGGTTGTACAGAAATATGTCTACACGTTATTTGAAGCGAATGTCAGTCCCATAATTATCATAAGTCGGATGGAGGGTAAACATATTTCTCTACTTCCGGTCTCAAGGGCTTGATGCACTGAGAGGCACAAAGGGTCACTCTATATTACTCGCCTATAAACCCAGGAATCACTAAATGATAAATGTCGAAAGCCATCATAGCTCAGAAAAATATTACACTTTCACTAATTGCTCGTTTTTGATACAGCCAATATTCATTTCTTATGTGAGGTTTGAGGTTCTGACGGCTGTTAACTATGATAATTATGTAGGATCTGAGATTCTCACTATATGAAGAGCTTTGTGGTCTAGGATATAACGAGATCAAGTCCGTTGAAATTCAACCGACTACACAGAGCTATATCCCAGAATAGAGAACTCTCTGTGGAGATCATAGTCTTCTGCGATGTAGCTCTGTGTAGTCTGACAGATATTTGCCAAAACTTCGGAGGACGTATCTCCGAAAACGCCCTATATATCTACCAGGCTACACGGCGTCAAATTAAAGAAACAGAAATTAAAATCGACATTTAAATTCTCCTTAGCGTTTATACCGTCATGTTCAACTGAACATACAATTCGTAATCATTTGAAACGAAATACTCACTGAAATTGATTTATTACAACGGTTACTCTTCTTGTGTGAATCAGGACCTCAAGCAATTTCTTGACGAGGCGAAGGAGGGCTTCATTTACTTCAGCATGGGCACAAATTTCAATGGCTCCAAGCTAAGGGAAGACAAACGAAAGGCGCTGATGAGCGCTTTCTCGGAGCTGCCGCAGAGGGTTGTGTGGAAGTTCGAAGCAAACAGCCCGCCGGAGACACCTCCCAACGTCTTGGTCAGCAAGTGGCTGCCACAGAGCGACATTCTCGGTAGGAGCAGAAAATTAAGCCCGTTGAGGCACGGTCCTTCTTGAGCAACTGCAGTCGCTCGGGTGGTCAAGACATTTCCCGCAATCTATTTTAGGAAACCAAAGGTTCATTAGCGTGTTCACAAGAGCCCCACACTGCCCGAAGGCATTCCGTAAACGAATTCCTCCATAATGAAGAAGACTCCTGGTTAGAGCGATGACATCAAGAGTTGTGACAACGGAGGGGCTTGTAGGAATGAGAAAGTCTCACAAAATATTTGTCGGAAAGCCAATAGGAAAGAGATCACATGTAGACTTAAACGTAGATTGAAGGGTTAAATGAAAATGAACCTTATGAACCTCGAATTGTTCTGACGATGGTCAGCAGCATTCGAAATTACTGGGTTTTGGACTCTGTTAATCCCTCTGTATCCTACGTAAAGAACACTAAGAAACAGAACGTCTCGAAAACTGCATCTTTATCCGTCCTCAGGTTAGGGGCTGGGAGATTCAGATTAATTTTTTAAACGACCCCAAAGAGTATGTGTCTCCCATTCTCTTACCTGATGACGGAAGCACATCCACTTTCCGGAAGGCTGTGTTTTCTAGTGTTCTATAAGACACCGGCCGAGTGACAAAGACCAAAATCTCTCTAATATCCAGTATTCGATTAGTGGGGGGTGGAGTTCTACTGGGTCCACTCGGCACGGCGGCTACTGATTGGCTTATTGTACCTGCCCCAGGTCATTATGATGATGGAGAATTTGGTGGAATGAAGATTGGCAGGAGAAACCTAAGTACTCCGAGAAAACCCGCCCCAGCGCCACTTTGTCCACCACAAATCCCACTTGCCCAGACCTGGGATCGAACACTGGCCGCCGCGGTGGGAAGCCAGCGACTAACAGCTTGATAATATCCAGTAGATTGGCTTGGCTCAAGATGGCTTCTAATTGCGACTTTTGTGATTGTGAAACTTCGGACTTCGCAAAATGGCGGAGAATTTCATGAGTAGCTGAGTGAATATTGGTATCTCAGAAAGGGATCTACTCCATGGGGTTAGGGTCAGATATCTTGCTCGTTCTGAATCTGTGTGTATAGGGACTTCTCCGCTATTTCTCTTCTCTCCGAACTGTAACGCACATGTTTCTAATGTGCAACAGCTCACCCAAACATCCGGATGTTCATCTCCCACTGCGGAAGACTGAGCACGATTGAAGCAGTGTATAGGGGCGTTCCAGTTGTGGGAGTACCCATCATGATAGATCAGACTTCTAATCTCCAGTTACTTATCTCCAAGAACGTGGCCGTGAAACTGGACTTCCTGACCCTGACGAAGGAGAGCGTCCTTGCAGCAGTGCGGGAAATTCTCGACAATGACAGGTAACGGGCGTGGCATGTCTGCGCAACTTTCTTGTGTGTGGAGAGTTGTGAGTGTCGGGCTGCATACCTGCTGAGTCAAAGGAAACAGAATAATGTGTGCATCCTTATGGGAGGAAAGCCCTCCATGGTGGAGTTCTTAGGTATGGCGACTTTACTTCTCGTCGTATGTCGAAAATCGACTTTATTTATTATCTAATGATAACATAACGATCTACGTCAATATCTGACGATGAAGCAACATAATTTTTTGGGGGGACACAGTATAATAGTTGTAAAATTATTTAGACTAACGTTTGCCTACCCACATTCATTGCTCAAAATTATAAATCAGAATTAGTCACTAGGTGCCTTGCCCACGCTTATAATTAAACATTTGGAGCCTGCTACACGTCTCTAAATTCTAAAACTCTGTAAGTACATTGTGAGATAGAAAACCTAGATTAATGGCCGCGGGATCCGTTGCGCTGACCACGTGACACCCTCTGTCCACAAAAGTTGGAACTAACTTCGCCGACAAGCGGCGTTCGCTCGGTCGGTATAGTTCGCTTGCGGAGTACAGGCCACAGAATTTTGTTTGTTTTGTTTCGTTTTTTTTTTTTTTGAGACTATAGACATGGTATTGCTCAAACTGTCACAGATTTAAGAAAGGAAGCCAACATCACTTTAGTCTTGTTCGATTTTAACCAAAAACCGGGACGTGTCCACAGTCTTAGCAGAACATTCCAGTATCAAATTTAATTAAAATCCATCCAGGAGTTCTCGAGCTAGACAAACTGGCAAAGAGGAGCTAATAGTCGCAGTTTTGCATATGTTCACTCCAAACACATCAGAGAGACTATTAAATAATATCTCTATATTCCTTCGTTCTTTCACCAGTTACCGAACCAACATGAGGAGGCTGTCCGCAGTGTTCAGGGATCAGCCCCAGACGCCCCTTGACCGCGCAGTGTACTGGACGGAGTACGTCATCAGACACAAGGGAGCTCCTCATCTCAGATCTGCAGCTGCTGATCTCTCCTGGTACCAGTACCTGCTGCTTGATGTGATACTGGTCTTCGCCACCGGCGCGCTGCTAGTCGTGCTCATCATCTATCTAGCAATCAGGACACTGTACAAGATACCAACTAGGAAACCTACCAAAAGAATAAAAACAAATTGACTGATTTCCAGCAAGAGCCAGTACATCATAACATGGGTTTTCAGTTGGGGCTTCATTTCCGATCGGACACTTGACCGGGATCAGAATAAAGAAATTCGATTTCAATGTGAACAAAATTTTCCGGGGAAAGCATATTTCCTCAGTACAGTTACTGTCGTCTCATGTTCGTGCTTAGTTTGTGAGTGGCTTTTGTGCTGTTGAGTAAGCACGCAAGAAGAAAATAATTTAATTGAATTAGCATTGATGTTACGTAATATTAAAGTAACTTTCGCAACGTACCGAGTCAGAGATGAGACATGAAACCTCCGCTCCAGCCACGGCAGCTAGTACTGGCCGACTGGCTTCTCTAGTCACCTCTTAACGGGGTATGCACTGAACCAAACATAAGAGTTCCTTTTATTGTATTTAAGCATCCTGTTGCATTAATATATCTACTGAACACACATATTTCCGTCTTAAATACAGCTTATAATCTGGTCACCTTTCTTCCTCAGGTGTCTTCTATCTTGCTAAAATTGTTGCAATGTACGTCAAAGTTAAGTATCGCGTGTGAACGCAATATTTCCTAATTAAAATGAATTAATCTTAATTAAATTTATTTAAAATTAATTAACATCCCAATGTTTTCCTTAGTGTTGTCGTCCATTTGACTGAAATATATAAATATTTATTTGCATTTATTCGCGTGCGTTCCCTTTGTGGTGTACGTACTATGCGTGCTACTTGTGCAGTTCGGAAGCCTGTGGATGTATTTACTGTCAGTTTTGTTATGTATGCTCCACTGGCTGCAGTTTCTTCCACACTGTCAGAATAGTTACATTGTTAATTGGTCTATGTACGTAGGGAATTCTGCGCAAATAAATCCAAAACGAGAGATATTCAAGCATATGTCTTTTGAAGGAATGGAAGACAACCACAAGGAAAACATTGGGGTGTTAATCAATTTAAACAATTTTATTTTAGGTCAATTTATTTCAATTAAGAAATATCTCGTTCACACGCCATACGAAAATTTGACATACAGTACAACAATTCTAACAAGATAGAAGATACATGAAGATGGGGGTATACAGTCGAAACATGTGGTAAGGAGGAAGGTTGACTAGAAGATAAGTAGTGCTTAATACGGAGACAGATCTGTAAAACAGAGTTTCTTTACCAGAACAAATGAATACTCCCAGTTTCAGAAACACAAGGTGCCTGTCTATATATGTTTCGGGTATCGTGAAAACAAAGCAATGCATAACGGTGAGTCGTGTCAGTCTGTTCGGGCATTTCATCTACAAATTATTCTATGTGAAATTCTCGTGAAATGATTTGACTTACATACTGTTCCAGTTCACGCCGAGTCACTTGAACTGTCAAATTACAAAATGTTCGAAAAGTTTCGTGCCTTAACATCTGAGATTTTAAACAAAATGCAGATCTCATTCAAATCCATAATTTCTATTTCGCACATTAATTAACATGGCGTTAAGTGGAACAGATTAACAAAAATAACAATAATACTTAGCTTCTTACGCAATCAGTTACTTTTACCGTGTCAGATTGCAGGTTTCTGGGTTGTGATACCGTGCGCTCAGCACACCCCGAAATGTCTGTTAACTGTCTTCACAGCAAACATACATAATCATGTTACTGCAATACTGAAAGTCCACTGACATAAGAAACTGTAAGACATTTTATAGTGAACTAAAAGCAAGTGCAACATACAGTTTGTTGCAACTGCGAGAATTTCATCAGAGCAATCTTAGCCTTATATACAGGTTCGGGATAAGCTTACAGACACTAAGCAGCAGTTTCGCTAAGAAGGGCCGAAATTCGGAAGATGATGCAAAAATAAAACTCCGTGTTATTACGAGCCGGGATAATGCAGTTGGTACAGCGACTGGCTACAGGCTTCATAGCAACGTGGTCGGGGTTCCAACTCCGAGTAGGATCAAGAATTTTCTCTTCTCCACGTCGTGGAGACCGGTTCTGGGGCCCACCCAACCCCCCTATCCAATAGGTATGGGGGGGGGGTCTTTCCCCGGGATTAAAGCAACAGGGTTGTTACCACTCAACTCCGGTTAATGCCACAGACAAGAAAACGTGGATCTACACGTCCTCTCCTCCTTACGCCTTCATGGCGTAGTGCTTAATTATTTATGCACAGGGACAACTCTACCTACCTTTTATGTAATTATTACAAGTGTGTGTTGTGCCGATAGTGTAGTTCAGAATAACCTGACCTCACAAACCGATCTCAGATTTTGAGAGGATACTGATAAAAAATACCAGACAGCAAGGGTCAAACGTAATAATAAGTTTTTTTATTGTGGAATTCTATTTTTGTTCTTCTTTGTAACCTTTGACCTTAAGCCTGCAGCGCGACAGAACATACGAGCTTAGGGAGGGAGGGGAGGTCTTCTACTTGCTGTGATAGATAAACAAACTGTGTCAAAAACTAAACAATGCATTTATGTTTACACAACTCGCTACATAATTTGGAAAATTGTTTTCTTCTTCCCCTTCCACTCACCCATATGTCTTCATGCCGCAGTGCTTGATTAAGCACAGCTAGTCATTTTGGAGCTCATTTTGAGTCGATTCGAAATAAAAACAACGTTCACAGATAAGAGTGCAGTGAGAATCACGGCAGGCGAAACTCTGTGTCGGCTTCAGTGAACAGAGCAATGAACCTTCAGGCTCCATACAATGCGAGCGTTTTTGAGCCACTGTATTTTTTTTATTGCTAGTGGGGTGGGACTAAGTCCCTTGTACTGCGGCCACTTCTGGCCTATTGTACTAGCCCCAGATGATAGGTGAGGGTGATTGTGGAGCAATTGGTGGAATGAAGATTGGCAGGGGAAACCGAAGTACTCGGAGAAAACCTGCCCCAGCGCCACTTTGTCCACCACAAATCCCACTTGACCAGACCCGAGATCGAACCCGGGCCGCCGCGAGAAGCCAGGGACTAACCGCTTGAGCTATGGCGCGGCCTTGAGCTACTGTAAGTAAGCTCCTCAATGTGGGCTACACCCCGTATAGTTAGTTTGCTGGAGCGAGGCAAACAGGAGAAACATTCAGCGGTCGGTCTACACTGATCATTATAAATAAGCGTACAACAAAGACAAAGAATTAAAAGTATTAGACGTCAGTGAGGAGACTGGTCTGCTGGAGTACAGAGAAAACTGAATTCATGTCATGTCACGTCATCAGAACGCAGGACAGAATCGTAACAGAATGATTGCCAACCAGCTCTTCGAAAATGTGGCATGGTTAAAATATTTTGGAACTATAATAATGATCAGAATTGCATTCATTAAAAAAATATGAACTTTCATTCAATTTTGAATCATTCGTCTTTCCGTTTTCTAACTATATGTAAAGATAGATATACAAAATTAAATACTGTTTTTAATGGGTGCGAAACTTGGTCACCCAATTTCTGGGAAAGACATGGATTGCGAATGCATGAAAATAGAGTGGGAAAGTGAATATCACAACATACAAAGGAGAATGTAACAGAAGAACTCTATAATGAGGTGGTTCATTATTTGTACTCATCGCTAAAAACCCCATCCTGGTATTCCTTTTATCACAGTGGCAGACGTGCGAAGTTGTTCATATAGGAGAAACAGAACTCTTGAAATTCCATTTAAGGACTGATTTATATAACATTGGTATATCAGCACAATTCAAAATATATTTAAGTGGGATCAATATGTGACGAATAGTTGTAATATCGTACTTAAATCTGAATTGTGATATATTTTAAAAATTTCTACAAATTGTGAAAGGGTTCCGTTTTCAGTTATGTGCGCAGTACAGTGTGAAAATTTGTAAAATCCTGGATAAAATGCGGAGAGTACGACACTGAGCTTGTCATCTTCTGCATATTTTGCCACTGAACAGAAAGATTAGAAGCCATTTCGTACAATTTTGCAGTAAATTGCAAATACGTTATAATATCTTCAAATAAGAATAAGCACGAACTTGATCAAACAGGATGGCATAACGCAGCGCTCTAGAGTTGTATTCCGAAAGTGACAAGTTCGAATCTCGGACGGGACAATAGCCATTCTGACCAAGTTTCTCGATAATTTTCTCAGTCACTCCAAGCAAATTCCGGGACAGTAGCTCGATCACGCTACCGCTGTTTCTTTCAAAACACTTCCCAATTCATTATTCTTCATTCATCCTAACATTCAATTAACGGTCAGATATATTAACAGCATTGTAAAACTAACCACGAAGCACAGTACAATCTTATATAAAAATCCAGCCCGTACCTCACAGGGAATATATTACTTCGCCACTCCAAAGACCAACCGGTTAATGCTTTTTAGGGAAAAAATCGCTGTTTATTATGAGAACCATACGGAACAAACCAATACATTCTGTGGGCACAATGCAGGGTTCAAGTATGTTAAAGCAGGTGACACATATAGTAAACCTTAGAGGGTTAAATACATCACAACAAAAGCGAGCGCTCTCTCGCGTATTTCTAGACACATTTCGCGGTTTGCAGTATGACGTAAGTTACTCTCCTGATCGACAGTTGCGGTCTCATAATTAGGACATAAAACAAGAGACGAAAGAATGAGGGGCGGCAGAGATATAGGAAGAGAAAATGAACCGCAACATAAAGGTCACGAGATAGCAAGGCTTGAATGATAACTCAAGAATGGTCAGTAAGGATTAGATCGAACCTTCCGTAAGGCGGACAGATCCGGCGAGTGGCAGTTCACATCAGGGTGCCGCATGCGAAGACCAGCGAGTCCTGCAGCCTATTGCCTCTTGCTGAAACATCCGTCTGGTAAGTAACGAAAGCCAGAAGTTCCGCTAACTGTATTTTCTTCTGGGATATGACAACCTTTACTGCTATAGAAGTTCGCCGACGTTTTGGAGGAAAGCATGGCCTCCTTCTTAAGCGTCGAAGAGTAAGATGAACAAGCAAGTAGCTTCCGAAACGTCAGTGAACTATACAGCATCACATCCCAGTGTATATCATTTCTTCATATCCAACGGTGTGAGAAATTTAAACTGGCTGGCTTTTTAGCCAGCATTTGTAAGACATATTATACTGAAATATAATGAAAAATGAAAGCTGCAAGACTGAAATCTCTCGTAACAAGTACGTTCCTCTTTATCCGATGGAAATCAAAGAAATTTAACATTACTATATGGAAAACGTAAAGCCAGAAATATCTTTATGAAACGGACTGTGAAAAAAGTGACTGAAGGCCGCCTAGGCGACTACAGGAAATTTGCGCAAAGGACGTGGAAATTGACAGTTGGACCTACTGGATTTTACCTCACTACAGCTGATATCTACCTACAGCTAAAGCCGCTGGCCACAATATGCCTGAGGTTGGGAGGGCGGGTGGGGGGGAGGAAGACCCCAGAGTGTGTATTGAAAACACACGAGTGTCTGTTCAGCTGCCTGCTATGCGCAACAGTGTAGAAATGTGCTGGAAAATGTAACACGCGGTGTGCACAATAGCGAGTCAGATGGGAATGAGCAGAAACTTCAATCTGTGTGTGAAAGTCAACGTAAACCAGTTCAGTGCGGTCAGCTAAAAACTTCACGAAACGCGAAGAAACACGCAAGTGAATTAGCTTTAACAGAAAACTGCCAATGACTGGAATCTAGTACACTACCAGAACTGTGCTGGAACTCCTTATGAGTTCCGTATCGCGAATATTCAAACTTCAGGAACAATAATTCAAAGTTCAGTCAGAGGTTGTGCCAAGAAACATTGAATAAAACTGATTCCAAACTGCCGCCGATCGAGCGTTGTAACTGTCCTTCATTACCGGAGGACACAAACACAAGGACATTATTTATGGCTTCGCGTTTGAGAGCCGAGGAATGCGCTGCTGTGAACTACCAAAGAGAGCGTGAAAAGAAATAAATTTAAAAGATTTCTACGACCAAGGGGTCAAGTTCGAGTCCCGGTAGGGTCAAGTATTTTCTCTTCTCCACGTCGTCTAGACCGCCTCTGGGGTCCACCCAACCTCCTATCCAAAGGGTACCGGGGGGTATAACGGTCGGAGCGGGAAGCTGACCACTCACGTCCAGCTAGTACCGAGGTCAAGAAAATGTGGATCCATACATCCATTACCCCATACGTCTCTATAACGAAGTGCTAAATTTGATAAGCACCTTACGCGTGATATTTGTCGTCATAATGAAATTTGGCGTTACCACGGCAACAAACTGTCGAGTGTGAACAGGTTGCATAAAAGTAATGTAATAAGTCACAAGCGAGAAGTCTTCCAGTCTATCGTGTATATTCTGTGAGTATAATATTTTTATGTGGATATGTGAAATGTAGTATACTGTATAAAGGAGACCAGTTACACTTGATTATTTGTGTGTACTATTAATGGGAGATGGCGTTGAAAGTCCGTCTCGACGTAACACTCCATAACGTGTAGGGCTGGAAGGGAACACGGTTGAAAACAAGGGAGGTTAATGTAGCTGGAAAAGCTATACGGGTACATCTGATGACACGCCTCGCTGGATGCTCAAGGGGGTTGCGATAGTGGGGAGAAGAATGTAAATAAATAAAACACCCGATGCATGATAGAGCGACATTACAGAGAAAAAATAAAGTTATTTATTTTATAATTTATAAAATAAATGCTGATTTAATGACATTTAAAAATTAATGTGTAGTGCCATAAGAACCTTTATTAAAGGGAACCCTGTGTAACACGGAGCATTTTCTTGGCCCTGTACTGTTCCAACTTAAACATGTTTCGCTGCGTAAAGATAAAATCCGCAGTTATACTGAAGGGTGGTATCATTCAGGGAAGCAGGGTGACTGACTTTTACGTTATTTAGCTACCCCTCATCAACTAGTTGTTCTGTTCGGACTCGACTTGGATTAGTAGTTGCGCACTGGGTTGGCAAGGACGATGAAGTAATCTATCGAAGCTTATTTCCACGTATTACCGAGTGTTTACTTGAAAAGTGCGAGGAGCTCTAGGACAGTCTGTCCTCCGCTCGAGACTCGAACCAATGTCTATCCTGCATACAGCATAATATTAGGAACGTATAAACCAGTATTTGGAAGGTTTCCTCCCCTATGAAAATCTTAAATTACTTGCTTACTTATAGAGCTGAGCCCTTCTTGAGGAGAAGCCAAATCTGCAGCTAATTTTAAATTTCCCAGCATTTTATGGAATCACAAGGTTAATTTCCGTGTTCACAAAAGCCCTCAACTGGTCCCTATTCTGAGTGAGATCAATCCAATCCATACCATCCCATCCGATCTCTCTAAGATCCATTTTAATATTTTCCACCCACCTACGCCTTGGTCTTCCCACTGCTTTCTTTCCTTCCGGCTTTCCCACCGATATCCTATATGCATTACTCTTCTCCCACATTCACGAAAATCTCAAATAGGCCCTAAAATTATGAGTTAATTTATTTGTTACGAAATACTGGTGCTGGATTTTAGGCTCTCATAGAGGTGGTTGTGAAGATTATTACTGTCGTTTTTGGGTATAACGCCGTGTAGTCTGGTTCAATTTAAATAATGATATAGCCTCCATCTTGGTGTCGAAGAGTGAACCAAACAAGCAACGAGCAACCTTGCTGCTTTCATCTTGACCGGATCCAGAAAGAACAGCGGTAAACTTCTGTTTGACTACGAACATGGCGTAGTGTTCACCTACGTCATGTTATAACAAAAATGAGGCTTATTCCTACTTACATCAAGGATTTCGAGGTCGCTTTTTCAGAACGTACAGTACTCGGGTAGCGTACAGTGTAGATAACACACATGTACACGTACAGCAAGTGAGTGGTTGTGGTTAGCTGACCTTCAGTGGGAACGTTTCAGCCAGTAATTTCGAGGGGCGACTACTTAGGGCGCTGCCACTACCTGGGTTACACAGCGGCACTGTTCGAATGGCTGATGGTTGGGGCCTCATCGAGGTACTATCCCGGGTCTTGTCTGAAAATATACTCTGTGATTGATGAAGTGTCGTTACATAACCGAGCACGTGAGCCCAACTGCAGTGTGATGATCACTGAAGTGAATACAAGACCAGTTTTTATTCTTGGGGGAGTGGTTATTTCACGATGCTGTCAGTAGCCAGAATATACAGCGTAGAATGAGAAGACTATACGCGGAAGAGTCAGTAAATGGGGAACAAGTGAAAGTAAAGCAGCTGCAATGGACGCAAGAGATTTTCTTATGTGTATCGCTAGGTAGCAGCACAGTCCAGCCTCAGCAGACGTGCATGCGCATGTTCACAGGCTGGTTCCAGTAGTCAAAATGGATATCGGAACTGAAGGGTAAACTACCGAAGAGGAAAGGACAAAAGGACTCAATGCAAAGGATATCCATAAAGAAAAGTTTCCTGTATACAGTGGGAAGCGTTTGCGATGTAAATTGGTTGAAAACTGAGTCGATAAATTCTGTCAAGGATATATGAAATTCGCAGATGATGTCCTGTTGAGATTCCGATAGGAGCAATTGTGCAGCGAGTGGAAGAGCTGAGTCGAGCTGACAGTGTAGCAACTGCACTAGGGTGTTCCCATGGTTTAGCACACAGCATAATGCTGTGGGCACGGTGGGTGCCCAGAGAACTGAGGCCTCAGAAAAAATGAACCGAACGGGTCTGTCCTTGCAACATCTCTTACGGTATGCAAATGAAGGAGATTGTATGCTTAACAGGATCCTTACTGAGGAAGAATCGTGGATACAGCACTACCAAACCGAATCAAAGCTTGCTTCAATCCAATGGAAACATCTCAGTCCACCTTCAACCAAAAAGCCGAAAATTCCGCCAACTGCTGGAAAAGTTATGCTTACCGTGCGTGTTTTTAGATTCTCAGGGAGTACTGTTCGCCCATTTTGAGAAGCGTGGTGAAAATCTGAATTCTGCATCGTACTGTGAGGTCCTGTTGAAGTTTCGGAATGCATTTCGCAGGAAACCTCCAGGCCAACAGGCAAGAGGGCTACTGCTTCATTATGAGTTGTGCCAGACCCCATACAGCCCCAGCAACACAGGAGAATTCAAGAACTACTTGGGGAACTTCTTGAATGTCCGCCTTATAGCCCGGATTTGGCCCCTAGTGCCCTCCATCTGTTTGGGCCGCTAAAACACCGCCTTGTTAGCAACGTTTCGCTCATGACGAAGAGGTTGTAACTGGAAGTGCTGAAGGGGCTGAAACAACACTCAAACGTCTTCTGTGCTGCGGATTTCGACGCACTGGTATATTAATGTTGGTGGGGCATATGACGAGAAATAAATATCTTTCAGAGGTTATATCCATTTGTGAACTATTTACTGACTTTTCGTTCTAGATTAAAGGTGAATTAGAAAGGATTATGAAGTGGTCTTCGCTTAATAGAGGTAATATCGCGGTGTTTTCCTGGAGAAACAGCGGAAAATCACAAAAAGCCCCACAGTCAGGATAGCAGTTGTCTGTGAAAAAGTTTGTTTGGTGCTGTAAACAAAATATTCAGTTCCTTTCAAGCCCGCTCCTGGTGCATAACAAGAAATAACAAGGCAATCGTGTTACTCACACATTTATCTTTGCGGCTGATAAGAGTATCAACGACAGACCGGCAAAATTCATGCTACCGCACATAACAAACACATTTACCGAACTTCAAGCACCAAGCTATTATAAATCAGCCTGACAAGGAACCTGAATTGAGACACCAATTTTCACGAGCTCTAGATATATCAAATAAACTATTCCTGTCCTGAGTTTTCTGCAGGTGGCAGGACTTCCTGATCCTCAGAACACTTCCCACATACGCTTTTTATTAACCACGTGATCGCTCCCTATTGGTTAGCACCCCGCTCCTGTGTTTCGTCCACTCACGGCCACTGCCAGATCTATATAACAGGTGGCAACTACAATGTTTACAGAACGTCGGAAAAATTCCAACTTTCTATGCCGCGTGTTCCCGAAAGTCGTGGCCATATGATATTTCACTAAGCTGCAGAATTATTTAATTTGTAATTTAATCTATATTCCCTCCATACGTGAAAATTTCAAGGAAATTATTTACTGGACACGTTTATAATTCGTCACTACACTTCACAGCTCACTATCACCCTCAGTCACGTTGTTTGGTAGCGGCTTCCAACGACGGAGGTTCGTCTGCTTCAGGTCTCACGTCCTTACATGGTGGCAACCGTCTCAAGCGAACCTCATACTCTGACCGTTGGCTTCAGCTGTTAGCTCCCTGTCTGGACTGACTTGCAGCTACAAACCTCGAACTTCTGCTGTCAATTCTCGACTGGCTCCCCAGCCACTACTTATGTAGCCTAGGCGCGGACAGCACAGAAAACGCCATTTCAAACAGTTCCTCAATTGTTGCGTGCGAATGCTGCATAGCGATGGCTCTTGTATCGTTGATTGTTTACGAGGTTGTTGTCTGGTATCTCTGGCCCCTTATTCTTGGTGTTACGCCTCATGTCACAATACGTTCTCGCCGAAACTTGTTGCTCCGAATAGTAATACAAGTGTAACAACAAATTCAACGTGTAGTCTCAGCACTTGTTATGAAGGCTTTCGTACACTGCTATCTCCTGCTTTCTTTTCTAGCGCCACATTTTTTCCGAATGATGCGTCGAGGCTAAAATCTAAAGTCATCGCCAACGAATAGGTCTCACAAATAGTCAATCGAAAACGATTTCCTTTCCATTATATAGTACACTTCGCATAGCTACATACAAATTTCATGAGCACTCAAGGGATAGACACGATATACCGAAACAAAGGACAGTTCTCTCGTTCGTGACCTACGACGTAACACACAATCGTGTATCATGTTAATTCCATAGAGCTGCTTGCTATGGTAAATAAAATTTTAAAAAGTTCAGAGATACCTTCTCACCGTTACATATATTCAAGCATTAATTCTTTTTCTTTAATTGCTAGTGGGGTGGGACTAAGTCCCTTGTACTGCGGCCACTTCTGGCCTATTGTACCAGCCCAAGATGGTAGGTGAGGGTGATTGTGGAGCAATTGGTGGAATGAAGATTGGCAGGGGAAACCGAAGTACTCGGAGAAAACCTACCTCAGCGCCACTTTGTTCACCACAAATTCCACTTGACCAGACTCGGGATCGAATCCGGGCCGCCCGGTGGGAAGCCAGCGACTAACCGCTTGTGCTATGGCACCGCCTAACTCAAGGATTACTGCAGACCCATAATTTGCACACGCCTACTCTTCTAAAACAATACAACGTGTTTTATTTCTCACATAAGGAGACCGCCTCTTAAACCAGAAATGCATAATACGCTTTCGCACACGGCGATCTGAGGGACATCTGGAAGTCATAAGGTCATCAGATTTCTCTTATCCTCAGAAGATGTTTACAATAGAACATGTGTTTACTTGTGGTAGTATCATGAAACCCCCTTTCTACAAATATAACTCGTATTCCCTTCTTAGTGCATTCTGTTGATGCTTCCCAACGAGACCATACATCTGAAGAAGGGTGTGTTTATCGCTTACTTCTTGCTGGCTACTTGCTTGGTTAATCTTCGGTCCTGAGAGGTCCTATATTTCTACGAAACGTCGGCGAACTTCTCCCGGACTACACAACTTCTCCCTCAGAAGATTTTTTTTTTCTGTGGCTCTACAGCCCCAATTTGGGCCTAGGCCTACATCCATGAAACTCTCCGTTTCACTTCGGTTTACTAGATCTTACACATTCGGTAGGACTCTTTGGGCGAGTGATCAGCTCGTCGCAAGGCCCCTACCTGTAGACAAACACAGAAAAACGCACACAAACATCCATGCCCTGAGTGGGATACGAACCCACGATCCCGGCTTCAGATCGTGCAAAGACAGTGCAAGCCTTAGACCGCTCGGCTACCGTGACCGGCCCCCTCAGAAGATAGTACTCTTAAAACTAAAATTCACATATTAAGTTAATTCACTAAGATCCATTTCAATGTTCAATTTCACTCTGTGCTTCACACATCCAAGTAATCACAGAACTCTGCATGTAACTCTTGTTTCCAGCATCCCAGTTATGTCTCATATCAGCACAACCTATTTCTCTCAGATCCACCTTAATATTATCCCTCTATATCGTCTTCAAGTTTCCTAATACCGTTTTTCGTACGAAATTTGACACCGTCAAAACCAATTCCTTCAACATAATTTTAATATTATCATCCATTCTTCCTTAAATTTCTTTTAATTTTGCGTTGCAGTCAGTAGCTAGACCATATAGCATCGAAGGTAGCTTTACAGATAAATGATGAATTGAAAAGGATTTGAAAGGAAATGGGAGTGGATTAGTTAATGAACTAACCCTGAATTGTCATGAAGACACTGAAGAAAATCTCGAAGAAAAAAAACGTCAGTCGGAATAGGCTGGTTTATGCGGAGTTTCTAACCCAGTACCTCCCTAATCCAAGTCTGCAGGTTACAGCTTGACAACCGTGTTAGTTCTCCCTGATTCAGCTACGACAGTGATGGGCATGCATTTCTAGGTTCGTCGTTCAGTCACACACGGTTGTTTCAGCAGGCGAGGGCTACTCAAATTCAAAATAGTAATGCAGTTTCTTTCTGATGTGTGAATCCAGAGCGACCGCAATGGAGATGGAAATGTCGGACCCCAACTCACTGCAAGACAACGACGCGCCCACGGAGACGCGCATTCCGCAGCCTGCGGAAGTCACCGCAACAGACAAGGTGCCGCAAATCCTGGCTACGATAGCAGGTATGCAGTTTTGGCCTTCTGTGGTAACGACTCCCTACAGACACAGGAAACCTTCTGAGGAATACAATCTACTGGGATATAACACTGTGTACTCTGGTAGATGACAGATGTTTCGGAACATGCTGCCTCCATCTTCAGGGTAAAATAATAAGCTAAGCAAGTAACCAGAAAGAAACGGGCGGGTCTCCTTGCCTTTTGCTTTCATAACTTACTCGTCGACTCCGAAGGTGGAGACAGTACGTTATTCCGAAACGTCGGTAAACTTTACCGGAGTATACTGCGTCATATCCCAGCAGACAGGATTCTTCACGCCGCTGTGAATCTCTCAAATCCAGTGAGAACTTCTCTGATTGCCAGGAACCAAAATCAGCCGCTTGAAGAACGTGCCCCATTCACAAAGTCACATAGACTACTTTACTTAATTAGGGTCAACAGGTCAAGCAGAGTGGGATCAATGCAGAACGTGGGAAAGGGACGATTACACACATTGTGCTCGGAAAATCTGCAGCAATGGAGTCATTCGAGAAGTAAAAATGGATAATATTAGAATGGGTCTTGATCAATTAGGAAGTGAGGACGTGAACTGGATTGAACTGGCTTGAAATTTAGACTTATGAGGAGAATGCCCCTTAGGGTCCACTGTATGGTGATGAATTTCTATTCACGGATATTTACATATTTCATTTTTTTCTGCTATCCCTGTACCAGGCCGTGAAGGCCCATGGGGTTGTGAGACGTTGAGGGTCCCACATTATCTAGACAATCGGCTCACAGATGGCGGTAAGGTTGTCAGACTTATGCGCCGGCCGCGCTTTACTCCCCAGGAAAATTATTTAATTAATTGTACTGAATTCCGTTAGAGGCTGAGTCGACCCCAGAGCCATAGTGCGGCTGGAAGGATTAGGTAAATTAAAAAAAAAAACAATGACCTCATCGGGACTTGAACCCGCGAACTTCAGGCTTGTAGCATAGTGCCTCAACCAACTACGCTACCGCTCATGCTGTTATCAAATTTTCTTTATTTCTGGCCCTGCAGGTCAACTGATAACGTGAGTCAGGCTGCATGAGCGTGTCTGAGAGGTCTGCCTGCGAGGATACAAACTGCTCACGATGAGTCAGAGAACGTTATTCTGCGTGTATCTGAGAAGCTGAACTACGAACTTGTAGGTAGGTCGCACACCGGCATGCGTCAAGACACGATGTCTGCGACATGGCGCAGAGAAAGGAGCACAGTTGAAACCAATGAGATTATGAGTCATGAGCCATTATGCTGACGTCAGCTTCATGCTGACGAATCACGAATGAAGCAAGACTGCGTCTTCTGTCTCATGTCTTGACGCAGTTGGTGTGCGGCAGCCCTTATTCTTTTGTGGGTAATATAACAAAGCTATGAGTAACTGAACTAGATAGCGTCAAATGGTAAGGTGACAGATGACTGACTAATAGCAAATGATTTAGATAAACACGTTGTAGCCTGATCCAAGTACTAACCCGGTATTCGCCTGGGGGTACTGAAAAAGGAAGGAGAAAGAAAACCTGGAATACTGGATGGTCAGGCGGAGATTCGATCCTGGATACAGTTACATGCTATGGACGTTGGGCAGATTCAATTTTGCTAGAGGTGTTACAGGTTGGCTCTGACATTCGCCCGGTCCTGTTCTGTGTTGCAGCCAATATTATCGTGGTCTCAGCAGGAACCCTCCTGTCATGGACTTCGCCCGCCACTCCAATGCTGCAACACCAAGACAGTCCTTTCAGGATAACAGATCATGAAGCTTCGTGGGTTGGGTCCTTGTTGGCGCTCGGCGCGGCGTTTGGAGGGCCTCCGTTTGGTATGTTGGTGAACATGGTGGGCCGCAAGTTGGCCATCCTGGCGCTCTCACTGCCCGTCACTGTTAGCTGGATCCTGATCCTCTGCACCAGATCCGTCGCCTGGCTGTACATCGCGAGACTCGTCTCGGGTCTGACTCTCGGGGGCGTGGTCTTCGTCATTCCTATTTACGTAGCCGAGATTGTAGAGCCATCCGTCAGAGGACCTCTCAGCGCCGTCTTTCAGGTCAGCGGAAGGATTGTTAGTTTTGTCTAAACAAGTTCTATGTGTACGGCATACTTCAGTAAGGATACCCGATTGCGGTCAAATTCTGTTATAATCAGTATCATTCACAATGTCATAACTATAAAATTTACTACAACCATCAGCTCACTGTGAAGTGGGCTTTCCATTTTTCGCTTCCAATGTCTTGACCATGTTTGATTTCGTTCACATCTTGAAACAAGGTTATTGAGAAGTAAACCTGTAGGGCTTTCAAATAGCGTTAATTTCTGGAATGTAACACCGTACAATCTGGTAGAGGTTCACGAGCTACCTCCATCTTCAGGGCTGACTAGTAGGTCACGCAAGCAAACAGCAAGAACAAAGCGTACACAGATCTGTACCTTACCACGAAATGACTATAAGCTTTCTGCAGTGCACGGTGTAACATCCCAGAGATACCTGTAGCTCTCTTCATAAACACCGCTGTGAGAACCTCAAACGCAATATAAGATTCTGAATCCTGTGTAAGACACCACAAGTTGCTCAGCAATTCAAGAATTTCCCAAAATTCTATGCAACCCGAAATTTCATTACCATGTTCACAAGAAACCTCCTCTACTTTCCCTTATCCTGAGCCAGATCAAACCAGCCCATACAATCCAATCCTGTTTTTCTATAATCCATTTTAATAGCATCCTCCACGTACGCCTATGTTTTCCTAACGATCTCTTTCCTTCTCCTTTCTATCAAAACCCTACATGCATTCCTATTCTCCCAGTGCGTGCCACTTGCCTTGCACGTCACTTCCGCTTTGATTTGATCAGTCTAATTGTGTCTGGCGAAGAGTACACGTTATGCAGCTCCTCAAGATGATCTTTCTCCAGACTCCTCTTATTCCATCCCTCTCTGGTCCTCCCCTCAGCACCCTGTTCTCAAATACCCTCAGATTATGCTCCCTTAGGGTCAGAGAAGAAGTTTCTCACTTGTACGAAACTACACGAAAAGTTATACTTTTATATGTTTCAATCTACTATCCCAGAATACATGCAACGGGCCTGTTTTGTCTGGTGGATCAGGTGGCTTTCAACATCGGCATACTGTACGCCTATGTGGTTGGAGCCGCTGGTCACTACACTCTGCTGAACCTCACGTGCCTCGCCCTTCCTGTCCTCGCCGTTCTTATCTTCGTGTGGATGCCTGAGGCTCCCCAGTATCTGCTAACAAAGGACAACCGCGCAGGCGCAGCGAAGTCGCTGCAATGGCTTAGGGGCAAAAGTCACAACGTGGAGCATGAACTTCAGCAGCTGAAGGTTAGTGGCCTCCGCCCAGAAGACTTCCTTCCTGTGCGATCAGACACAAATCTCAAGTTTCACAAATTGTTTATCTGCGTCTCTTTTTTAGCCGTATTCTCCCTGGGACTATCGCTTCGGGTCGAGCCTCGACGGTTCAAACGGCTGCTGTCCACAAGCCTTTAGGCTCTTTTCACACTATACGGTTTTGGCCGCACGGCAAAAACTCGAACGGCGACATTCTTTCAGTGGAGTGAAGAAGAGCATGGCCCCTTTCACATTACACGGTGACGGCAAAATGCCGTCACTGTGCCGTGCAGCAGCCGTCCACTGCCACTACAACACACGGCGCCCGGACGGCGACCGATAACTCAGTGGTGTACGTGATCAAATGCACCCTTTCACATTAGACGGTTTTAAATCATACGNCAGGCAACAACAGAAAAGTCCCGTGTAGTCTGATATGGCGATCTTGGTATCTGTCTAGTGCTGAAAACGAAATCTAGTCGATTTCTAACGATGCCTTAACTATCCACGTCGCTATCTGATGATGGCGCACGCTCAAATATGATTTAGATGCAATATATTTACAAGTAGAAAACTTTGTGTGTATAACAGTTCCAATCTTCTGGGACATAACACAGTTTAATCTGCTGAAAGTCAACCGACGTTTCGAAGGAACATGTCGCTTCCACATTCTGTCGAGAGTTCTGTTTGCTACTTGATTCACCCTGGTTTCTCGTTTCGGTTATTTTTCGACCCTGAAGATGGAAACAACATGTTACTCCGAAATGTATATTGATTTTGAACGGACTGCACGGCGTTATATCACATTCATAACAACCGTTGTGAGAGCCTCAAATCCTACAAGTACAAATTGCACAAAGAAGTTCAGTAATGCTGAGCGCGATGCTGACGTAACCCGATATCCTTGTTATGCAGGAAGTCGCGGAGAAGGAAGCCAGGAACAGGGGTTCCTTGAAGGATATGCTGACGAGTCCATTGGCTGTGAAGGCCCTCGTGATCTCGACAGGGCTGGTGAGCTTCCAGCAGCTGGGAGGAATCTGCGTGGTGCTCTTCTACACGGAGACTATCTTCCAGGCGGCTGGCAGCAGCATGTCTGCCAGTCTCAGCGCCGTCATTGTTGGTACGGTCATGCTCATAATGTCCTTCTGCATCATGCCCATTATGGATCGGGCAGGCCGGTAAGTAACAGCTGGCATTCGCCTGGAAGTAATTAGCTTAGTGCGGGGTGGAGTCCAACTGGGTCCACTGATTGGCCTATTGTAGCCTGCCCCGAGTGATTATGATGATGGAGAACTTGGTGGAATGAAGATTGGCAGGGGAAACCGAAGTACTCGGAGAAAACCCGCCCCAGCGCCACTTTGTCCACCACAAATCCCACTTTACCAGACCCCGAGATCGAATCCGGGCCGCCGCGGTGGGAAGCCAGCGACTAACCGCTTGAGCTATGGCGCGGCCTCGCTTGGAAGTAGCTTGAGTAAAACCACGCCTTTGCTAAATTACCTACTTCGCACACTTCAGTTTAGTTAGCAGCGCTGTTACCAGTAACACGGCATGTAGTGTATAGTGAGAAATGGCACAAGGGTAACTAATGCTGTAATGAGAACCCGTCACGTTGCACTCACTGGAGCCGCTCAACTAACTCACCAAGCAAGTAGCACCAGAAAGAACAGCATCATAGGTACAGAAGCCTTGCATTCCATACGGTCCTGAGGCATTTCAATCAAATTCAAGGTACAATCCACTTTTCTGATGTGCTTATGCATATCTTTACATTAATATTAGTAGTTGTGTATAAAGGTAAAGTTTCCCTATCCTTAACTCTTCAAGCACTAAACCACGAAGATGTATGGGGGAGTGGATGTATAGATCCATGTATTCTTGAACTTAATACTAGTTGGAAATTAGTAGTCAGCTTCACGCCCCGGCCTCTTTACCCCTGAAAAAAAGCTCTCGGTTCTCATGCGATAGGAGGCTGGGTGAACCAGAGAACGAAGTGGAGAAGAGAAAAAGCTTGCCCGTACAGAGACCCGAACTCCGACCCCCTCGGCCTTCCATCTCATAACTAGTCGCAATGCCGACTGCGCTATCTCGGCTCCCCATGTCCATACACATATGTACATTAAAATAATGTTAAAAAATTAACATCGCGTTCGCATAAAAAATAAGATATACAGTGAAACACTTTTGGTAAAGTACATACGTATATATACCTGATGAGACAAGGTAAATGTTGTATTTGAGACTGCAATACATATGTATAAAACTATTTATCTGAGACATATATTATGTTTCTGGACAATATCCATCTTCCTATTATTACAGATTTTATAGAATTAAAGTTACGAGGTTTGGGTCACCTTCAGTGATACAACATTCATGCAGAATTTCGTAAAAATTGGTCCCTCTTTCCAAAAGTGGGAATGGGGACACACAGACAGCGCCGTATGTCCACAAGGTCTGGGTCGTGCTGTCAGTATCTAAGACTACGAGTATATAGCGCCGAACGGTAGGATAGTTAATGAAGTAGGAGGATGTGGAAGGGAACGATGATGGACGAATCGAGGAACAGCTCAGTCAGCATTGCTGATATGCCGGCCCACAAGCCCTTCCCGAATACGCGTGCTCAGCGTTACCCCTACCCTTTCCTCAAGGAAAAAGAACAACCTAAACGTAGATCTGTCTCCGTGAGACAGTTACACCTTAGCAAGGCTCTAAGCTGTTTTGCGGTTTGACCATAGGCGCGTCTTGCTGCTCGTGTCCACCTGCGTCGACGCACTCAGCATCCTGGTGCTGGGCCTCTACTTTCTGCTGAAGGAGCAGCTTCACCGAGACGTCACGGCCATCAGCTGGCTACCTCTCGTGTGCCTCGTCACGTACATCGGAGCGTACTGCCTGGGGATCGGGCCCCTGCCCTGGGTCGTAATGTCCGAGGTGCTTCCTCCCAACGTGAAGGGCAGCGCGGGGGCCATAGTGACCTCGTCCTGCTGGATAACCTCCTTCATGCTCACCAACAGTTTCCAGACCTTCACAGACTACGTGGGCAGGTACTGCGCCTTCTTAGTGTTCGCCCTGCACTCACTCATCGCAGCACTGTTCGTGTACTACAAGGTACCCGAGACCAAGGGAATATCACTACAAGAAATCCAGGATAGACTGGCTGGGAGGAAGGAGGGAAACATCAACGGCTCAGTTTCGATATAAGCCCTTGTGAATTAGGTCGAGAGAAATTCAAGCAAATGAAATAATTTGCGAGTCCTCGATATACAGTAGCACCTCTGTTCTAAGTCGAAAAGTCGTCAGTCGGGTTTGTTATAACACAGACGTGCGGGGTTACGCTCCTGGACCTAACGGTACAGATTCATATTTCGATACTGTAATACCTGTCACTCTACAGTTCCATTCATTATATTGTAAAATTAATAAATGGACGTCACATAGTATAGCACTGAAGGCTCAAACTTCTTAGAGATAATATATAAAATAATTTAATAATTTAAAATTGTTTGTTTGTGTTGCAATTCGAGCATTTATAATTTTTTTATTTTTTTATTGTAAATAAAAATAAAATAAAATAAAAAATAAATTAGAGCATTTATAAACTTTTTTATTTTGTTTTATTTAAATAAAAAAATAAAGTATATAAATGTTCGAATCGCAACACCAACGATACATTTTAAAATATTTTATAAAATTTATAAAAAATTAAATTAAAATTTTACCAGAATCCGACCTCTCCAGCCTCTCTTCAATTTAAGACAGGAGACCCCTGATTATGGGAGATTTTGGGATGTACACACCTTAAGCAGACAACCATACGGAGGAACTTACCTGTGAGGTCAATGATCTCTCCCATATGGCCTTCCTATCATGTATACAAAAAATCCCATCTACTATGGAAACGTAGGCGCGTCATGGTCCGTTCATGACGTACACTCCTACGTAATCATTAGAAATTTACAAAATTGTATCGTCACGTAATTTTATGGGGTATGACTAAAAATGAGATTCGGAATGTTGACCGGATTTATTGGACTCCTTGACACAGCGCGTCACTACAATCTAGAATTCACTATTACACACACTAGTTACACAGTCAGATATTTACTAGCCGTTGCTTGGTAGCGGCTTCCAACGGCGTACGTTAACCTTCCTCTGGGTTCCCGAAATGTCCCTGTGCCTCAGGTACCAACTTCTCACAGCAACAGCTGACAGCAGTTGAACCGCAGCAGTTCTCTTGCTGAATCTAACTCACTAGCCAGCTGACTCAAAGTCAAAATTACGTTACGATCGACGACCAGTCGGCCAGTCCGTCTTGATGTCAAGCTCTCATCTGGGACAAGACCAAATTTTTGTCAGCGTTGCAGTGTAGATCATGTGTGGCGTCCTCACTGACGAGAGGACGAGCCTGTCGTTTACAACTGCTGCTTGGCCCTCGCCAGCGCAGTCATATTTACCGAAAATCAGTAGTATATATCATCTATATTTACAATTTTACATGTTGGAAACAAACTGATCGGTCAGTTAGTTAAGTTGCTGCTGGCCTTCGCCAGTATAGTCATTCACATCTTCAGTCTCTTCATGATCCATGACCAAGATTTTTATTACATTCTAGATATGTACGTGTATCGAAATGGGGCCTCAAAGAAAGTCAAAATCAAAGTTATGTTACGACCGATGATCAGTCGGCCAGTCTGTCTTAGTGTCAAGATTCATCTTGGGCCCAAGACCAGATTTTTGTTACTGTCAGACGGTTCCAAGTTTGTTGATGTGAAGCGCCCTCTCTGACGAGAGAGGTTCTCGCCAGAACTCCCGGTTATAACATCTCGGCATGCACCACATAGAAAACAGTTTTTCTATTGCTGAGTGCGTGCGTTTTGGGGGCATAACCTAGCAACGACCGCTGTTTACAGAGTCACCGCTTAGCAACGGGTCTATACGCCACAATATTAATCTTATGTGAATTTAATTTAACAAGGAACTTTATAATATTTCTTAAAAATTAGCATATTCTATAAATGTGTACGTAACTTAAAATACAAATGAGATTAAAAATCCAGTCATGTAACTGTTATTTCAAACGGTTCCCTTTTTCTCACACAAAGCCTCTGCTCCCTGTATCCATGAATGCATGAGGGGTAGGCCTACTCGGCCCTTGCACCGCGACCTACAGTGGTCTATTGTGCGTTCCATGTATCCATCCGCATCGAATACATCAACGGAAACATTTGGTATCGCCTGCAATTCCTTGATTAGACTTCCCGCATCGTAGGTGTGCCGGAGAAGTTGCCGCATGATCACGGCGATAGCTGTAAAACGGTTTCAATCATACAGGACTTCAAGCTCAGCACTGCACATTTGGCAGAGTTCGAAGAACCCAGTCCACTTACAGGGATTACAGCTTACAGGGAAGCTGATTTATCACCTGCCCAAGGGTTTCTTCGTACGTTTGTGGCGCGCAAAGTAAAGCGTGCAGACAGTTCGAGCAATGTCGGATTGTTCCAAATTTTGTACTTTCTTCTGGGATGTGACGTCGTGTATATCTGATATGAATTTTATTGACATTTCAGAGGAACATAGTGCCCTCATCTTCAAAGTCGAGAAATCAGCCAAAGAGCCGACAAGAAACAGGCAGCGTCCCGTGCTTCTACAGTTGAGACGTGCCGATAGACAAAGGCAGGCTTTCATATATACGCGTTTATTTCGTACAGTTGTGCAAATAGCGAATAGTAAGAAAGAAAATACTAAGATATTTGGTACAGATACGTCTGTAGCTTTCATCCAAATCCTGCTATACACACAACTGTTTTCCTACGACGAAATAAAAATGATTTCAATTTTATTCTGCAGTATAAGCTGTTTGCAATATAAAATTTATAACACCCGTTCCTTTATTTTATTTACCCCGCTTTTATGTAGAACATATGAAAGTACTCAACTTTTTATGTAACTTGAAATAATGACACTATTTAAATGAAAATAATCAATTTTCTCACACAAAATTATAAGAACTCGTGGTAAGGAAACTAATTAAGCATTAGGCCATGAAGGCGCATGTGGAAGTGAATGAATAGATCCATATTTTCTTGACCTCGGCACCAGTTGGAGATCAGTGGTCAGTTTCACGTCCTGGCCGCTTTAACCCCGGGGAAAGCACCCCCAGGTACCCATTTGTTAGGAGCATTGTAAGGAAATTCAAAAGCAAAAACAGAGAGAGACAACGTACTCTTTTTGCTCAAAATTCAATATATAATCTCTGACATGATGACAAAATTTAATATCTAAAGTTCTAATCAATATATCGGAGTTACTTTAAAAGGTCCGTTTTATTTTACGTTACATGAACCGTGCGTCCTTGCGTTATTACCTTCAACTAATCGCTATTATCTCAATTGGCGGGGATTCTTTCCCATGTGCACAAAAGTAACGTGAAAGTAATATTCCGCTGTGCCGTAAGAATGGATGGGGAGTGAGGTAGACTTAAAGCATTCTTACCCTCAACACTGAATGGTCAGCTTCAAGCCCCTTCCGCTTTGCCTCTGGGGAAAGAGCCTTCGGCACGCACTACAAAGTGGCCAGGAGGGACACAGACCCTGTGTGGACGCTGAGGAGAAGAGAGATATCTCTTAGCCATCCTGGAACCGAATCATGATTCTTCAGTTGTTCAGCGCGTAGCCAACGCTCAATACCTACTGAGCTACAGTAGCGCAAGAATAAAAGTAATACATTATAATTGGTGACGTTTATTCTGGCCTTGGAGTAAATTCCCATTGTCTAACAGATATTTATCAGTAAGAAGAATTCCGATGTTAAGCGCTCAATCATGATCATGTAAACATCATGAATAAAGCAGAGAGATAGCTGATTATGTTCAGCTGGTACTGAGCTACACAGGCGATGCTAACGTCCCGGCCGAGCACGCCGCAAGTTCAGCATGTCGGGAAGGAGCAAGGAACCCGCGTCGGTATTCCCTCAGTACCTCGCAGCAACAGCAGGTAAGGTCTTATTCTAGAATAGAACCCAACGTTTCGGTGGAAATGTCACCTCTGTCTTCAAGATCGAAAGGAAAGCCACGCGAGAAAACACCAGAAGCCTGCAATAAGCTGATTTCTTGCCTGACTTAGTGTTCTGCCCTGAATATGGAGACAATATTTACTTCCGAAACGTAGGGGTTTCTCCAAATAGCTGGGAGTTACAACGCACAACAGCACTCGATCTAGTAACCGTTGTGAGAAATCCAGCGGTGATATTTTCTAGTCTAGGAAAAGAGCCACGCAGGATAGGACGAGAGAACTGCTCTAGGTTCGCGTTGGGCAGGTGTTCAGTTCCAATATTGGCGGGGACGACGGCTATCTTGAGATTTTTCATGGATTTCCTCAGTACTTCCACGATCCTTTCAGGATAGTACCCTTTTAGGTCACGAATAATTCCATCCAAATCTTTCCAAATCCATTATTCATCAACTACCCTAACATTCGACGGTAGGTAGGGTTAGACACAGGAAGCGTCGTATAACGAACAGGGACAGTCAATGTTGGAGCTGATATTCTCACAGCGATGACTGTAAAGTTTACTGTCGTTTGGAATGAGACTCTGTGTAGTCTGGTAGAATCTTACGGACGTTTCAGAGGGGTGTACTGCCTGTCTTCAGGGTCAAGGAGAAAGCCATGCAAAGAACAAGCATCCAGAAAAGCGAAATATTGTTCAGAAACTGGTCTGGAAAGGAGCCCCGGGAGCTGGTTTCTTGGCCTACACTTCGACCCTGATAATGAAGGCAGTATGTTCCTCCGAAACGTTAGTATACTTATTATCAGACTACACGATGTCAAATCCGTCTGTACATCAATGTACTTTATGCTCCAGGAAAGTACAAGTTGATTCTAAATTATTATTGGGGGTTCCGCTGCCGATAATTTTTAAACCTTACCTCCCACGAAAGGTGAGCATGTTGAAGTTGATTAGCATTCTGCAGTATTGATTCTATAAGCAACAAAACTTTTTGAATTACAATTTCATATTCCGTAAGCAGTTTTATTTTTTTCCGGTTTGAAATCCCGACAATAATTTAGAACCACCTTGTATGTCTCTGAGGTTCATTTTCATATTTTTCTTCCATTAGGCGTGACAATGAAATTTATGCACTAATCCCAACACACAATAACAAGGAATATAAAAAAAACTGAGATAAGATTGCCAAAGAATTTCCAGATAGAGATTAGCAAACAAATCAAATAATTAAATAAGATAAACTGAAAGAGGTAGAGATAGAAACACCAATGCGTACAATACTTAAATGTCGACAGTGACTTACTTATGCATGGAGCTGAGCCCTTCTGGAGGAGCCGCCAATTCTGCAGCTACTCAAGAATTTCCCAATATTTTATGGAACCCGAAGGCTCATTACCGTGTTCACAAGAGCCCTCCACTGGTCCTTATCCTGAGCCAGATCGATCCAATCCATACCATCCCATTCTATTTAAGATCTATTTTAATACTGTTCACCCACCTGCGCCTTGGTCTTCCCAGTCGTCTCTTTCTTTCTGGCTTTCCCATCAGCATCCTATAAACCACATGTCTGAGTAAAGCTGTCCCGTTCAGAAGTGGAGAAGGAGGAACTGTTTAAGGCGAATCTAACTGAGCCAAGTTTCTAATTTTCTTCGTAGACATTCTTTTCGTGTGGTATTTACTTTACGGTACTCTTTCCGTATTAAGTACTGCACTGTCGAAAGATAGGATGACTGATGAAACTGAAGGGATTTGGAAGGAATCGACAGAACCTTAATTTTCCTGAAGGATGTAAAGGAAATAACGGAAAACCTCAGTAAACATAGCCGGTGTCCCGGCCGAGATGCGAACAGAGCACCTCCAACCTATAGACCAGCCTGTTCATTATACTGGACGGTCATTACAATTCATATTATTCTACAGGGGCTGAGCTGCGTAATAAGGGAAGTTTACGTAATGGAACACGCATTACATGTCAAGCGTGGAGTCAAGCATAGTCGTGTGCCAGAACTGCGTACGAGCGTCATCCCTCCCTGCCTCCCTGCCAAGGCGCAGCGGCAACCACTGCAACACTAAATTATGCCATGCACAACCCTGAGGCCATGTCTAAGAGCGCGGTCTGCACGTTCAGGCTAGAATCCTGCTGCCGCTTAAATAACCCAACTATAATATCAAGGCCTAGCTGTTATAAGGATATTGTGACCTGACGCCTAAAAACCGCAATAGTCCATTGCTACACAACGGTTCGCTACGAAATTAACCCACGTTCCCTCTGCAAAGGAAGACGAGGAACAGTTCCTATACAACGGCTTGCTACAAATATAGGAAGTCTCTAGGCACGTTTCGTAGCAACGGATAAACACATAATATAACAAAGGAACTGTCTGGGATAGTGATCTAGATTCGGTTCGTCACGAAGTTATAAAAGGAGACAAGTAATTGATTCGAGAGTTCAGTTCAGTTAATTCTGCAGTGATACTTCGTTCGTCATTCGACCTTGGGAGATTTTTAAGTGACCGATTCGTAAATCAGAACTAAGTCAGTAACAGCAGAAGAGGAGGCAGTCGTAGTCCAGTAAGGAATGGAGCAAGTCTTAGACAGTAATTGACTGTGAGCTGTTATAATTAATTCTAATTAAGAATGATTGTAATAGAAGTGCCAATCAATCTAATTATCCAATCTAGAACCCGTTATTATTCGTCACGGGACCCCAGACACGTGACAATATGCCTATCGCGGGTACAGTCGATCTGAAACGAGTATCGATATGTTTACTGTGAACAGCGAACTTGGCTACAGTGACAGCAGGCGCTGCTCTGGGCTGGACCTCGCCGGCTCAGCCGAAACTGGAAGCCGGAGAAGACAATGAGGGCTGGATCGTCCTGTCTTCAGAAGAAACGTCATGGATCGGTTCGCTGACTCCAGCAGGATCAGTAATTGGACCTATCCTTGTGGGTCTACTGGCCGATAGGATCGGCCGTAAGTGGACACTTCTGTTCACTGTGTGCCCGGCCCTCGTCAGCTGGATCATGCTCATCTTCGTGGACACCCTTGTGCTCATCTATGTGGCCAGGTTCATACTCGGCATCGCCGTCGGCATGGTCTATGCAGTCGCACCCATGTACGTCGGGGAGATTGCGGAGGTGAGTAGGGACGGTTGTCGTGCTCCAGACCGTCTCACAATTCAGTGAAACTCTGTCTGAAACTTCTTACAGGTCACGAAATACCCTGAGTAGGCACCCTCACGGAAGTAAAATCCCTGTGTGTTCAACGCCATCTCCGGTAAGGAGCTCCTAGGGATCTCTGACTATAGGTTGCACAATTTAATACCAACATACACATTTATGACTACACACAATGTTGATACTGATAGTGACGCAAAGTAAGGGATTTTAGAGAGAGTATAATAACTACTAAGTGCCTAAATCTTGTGACTATTATTCTCTCAATAAGGATCATACTCCATGGAGTTAGTCAAAGTCCAAATTTTCCATCAGCTTCTCAACAAGAATCCTACTCCACGGAGTTAGTGCCTAAATCTTGTGACTGCCAGCTTCTCAATAAGAATCCTACTCCATGGAGTTAGTGCCTAAATCTTGTGACTTCCAGCTTCTCAACAAGAATCCTACTCCATGGAGTTAGTGCCTAAATCTTGTGACTTCCAGCTTCTCAACAAGAATCCTACTCCATGGAGTTAGTGCCTAAATCTTGTGACTTCCAGCTTCTCAACAAGAATCCTACTCCATGGAGTTAGTGCCTAAATCTTGTGACTTCCAGCTTCTCAACAAGAATCCTACTCCATGGAGTTAGTGCCTAAATCTTGTGACTTCCAGCTTCTCAACAAGAATCCTACTCCATGGAGTTAGTGCCTAAATCTTGTGACTTCCAGCTTCTCAACAAGAATCCTACTCCATGGAGTTAGTGCCTAAATCTTGTGACTTCCAGCTTCTCAACAAGAATCCTACTCCATGGAGTTAGTGCCTAAATCTTGTGACTTCCAGCTTCTCAACAAGAATCCTACTCCATGGAGTTAGTGCCTAAATCTTGTGACTTCCAGCTTCTCAACAAGAATCCTACTCCATGGAGTTAGTGCCTAAATCTTGTGACTTCCAGCTTCTCAACAAGAATCCTACTCCATGGAGTTAGTGCCTAAATCTTGTGACTTCCAGCTTCTCAACAAGAATCCTACTCCATGGAGTTAGTGCCTAAATCTTGTGACTTCCAGCTTCTCAGCAAGAATCCTACTCCATGGAGTTAGTGCCTAAATCTTGTGACTTCCAGCTTCTCAGGAACACTATGCTCTACATAGTTGTTATGTAGCTACTGCCCACATCAGCTCCTCCAAGGAATCTGTGCGTTAATCTCGCAAATACCAGCTTTCCATTTTTATGATGATAAGTAAGCAGTTCACACTACCTCAGCTATTGTTATTGAAACTGAACAAAACGATTTCTATAGCGTAGATGGACAGAAGAAACAATACTTGTGCACTTTAATACTGAAGATATGTTTCAGCAGCGGTCGGTCTCTCCTGAACAGGGTTTCACAACAGTCGTGCAAGTTCTTGACTAGCTGAACGCCTATAAATCTCTCAGTGAGGACTGTCCCATGGTTTTAGTTAACAGGGAGAGAATTTCGGAATATAAAGCATTAAATGTGGTTACAATATTAAAATGTTTGTGAGATTGTGAGATGGACTAATGTGGCTCACTATGAGCTTAACTGATAGATCGTACGGTAAAGATGGACTTCGTGTTCATAACAGTGTCAATTAAAGCGTCGTATAAAGAGCCTATGGATTTCACGAAATAATTTAAATCAAGAAACAGATTATCGTCTAGGATATTTGCACCGTGTAGAGTTAGGTATTATTATTATTATTATTATTATTATTGTTGTTATTATTATTATTATTAATATTAATATTATTATTATATTGTTGCACTTGACGGAAAATCTATTGACAATTGGTGATTAATAGTGTAACGGACCAAAATGAAACAATTCAAAACAGAAGGTAAAGTTTGAGGAATGGTTACAGAGCCGTATTCGAGGGGCCCTGGGTTCGTTCCTTCAGCTGCTGGTCGTCACTGGCTACCTGTTCGAGTACTGTGTGGGCCCATACGTGACGTACACACACCTCGCTATAGTGTCGGGCTGTGTGCCCGTCATGTTCGCCGTCTCCTTCGTCCTCTTCCCCGAGTCTCCGTACTACCTACTGGCTAGGGGGAGGCGCGAGGAGGCCGCCAGAGCGTTGCAGTGGCTTAGAGGCCAGAGCCGGGCAGAAGTGCAGGAGGAACTGGACGTCATAGAGGTGAGGCTCTCTCTCGCGCTGAGAGAAAGAACGCTCAATTACAAGTAAGTTAACTTTCGGATTTTATCCGTGAAACTGAATATGTGTGTGGGGGGGAGGGTGTTTTTTGACGTCAGTAGTTTCATCCACGTACGTATCATCAAATGGCAGGATGATACAGATTAAGGATTAATTATAAATTACGAAATGAAATAATTTGGGACAATCGCAAAGAAAATAATAAAAAACAAACAAAATATAGGTCTCTGACATTAAGGGAGGAACACAGACTGAGGGTGTTTGAGAACAGGGTGTTGAGCAGAATACTTGGACCAAAGAGAGATGAAGTCACAGGAGGTTGGAGAAAACTGCATAATGAGGAGCTTCATTACTTGTACATTTCTCCAAGTATAATTAGAATCAAGTCAAGGAGGATGAGGTTGGTAGGACATGTGGCACGAATGGGGGAGAAGAGAAATGCGTATAGGATATTGGGAAAGCCACAAGGAAAGAGACCACTGGAAAGACCAAGGAGTAGGTAGACGGACTATATTAAAATAGATCTTAGAGAAAGAGGATGGGATGGCGTGGATTGGAATGATCTGGCTCAGGATAGGGACCAGCGGAGGGTTCTTGTGAACACGGTAATGAACCTTCGGGTTCCATAAAATGCTGGGAAATTCTTGAGTAGCTGCAGATTTGGCTTGTCCTCAAGAAGGGCTCAGCTCCATGAGTAAGTAAGTAAGTGATTATTTGTTGTGCGATTGTCCCAAGTTGTATCTTTTCGTAAATAGCATACAACAGGGTGCATACCATAAAGGTTAATTAGAAACCGTTTAGAAAGAAGCGATGAAGGGTTAATTGAGGTAGTGTCCCAGCATTTGCCTGGAGAGGCTGAGTAAAATCATAATAGACGGTGTCCCAGTCAAGAACCTCCACAACACTGCCACACCAGTCTCAAAATTAAATGTAAAAGTTTCACAACAAAATTATTTGCAGAGGACAGAAAACTGAATGCTGTAATGTTTGGACATGTAGAAAGAATGGTTTATTTCTACAAAAGGACTAGCGACTTATTGGGAGCAACGTAAGCACCCGAAACTCGAAAACCATTAGTAAATACCGAAACATGTAGCTAAGGTAATTTTAACCTAGACCATTATGTTGTTTTGTTACGACGGACTCCAATAAAGATGCATGAAATGAAAATTATGCGAGCATCCATATTAAATATTCAGAAGAAATAAGTTGGTAGCTCAGGGTATCCAGTCAGTGAGAGTTCCAACATTATTATCGTTCCAGGCGGCTGTCGAAGAAGAGATGAGGAACAAATCGAAGCTGAGTGATCTGATAGCGACGAAGGGCAACACGAAGGCGCTGTACCTGTCTCTCGGACTCGTCACAGCCCAGCAGTTCTGCGGCATCAACGCGGTCCTCTTCTACAGTCAGAGCATCTTCACTTCCAGCGCGGGCTCCCTCGGAGGGGCGGAGTCTACCATCATAATTGGCGTCGTCATGCTTCTCTCTTCCGGAATCACGCCCCTAGTCGTCGAGCGATTGGGAAGGAGGCTGCTTCTCCTCGCCTCGGCAGTCGGAATGATAATTGGATTGGTAAGGGACAAGCTTCTTTCCGCGTCAGTTTGCGCGTATATCTAGCGAGAGCAGTGCTCAACTCTGCGGCACACTTGCAATATTCTTGTTATTTTGCTACGTGACACAGCAGGAACATACGTCACGTGTATGAGTGTCACTCTCGACGGGGTTTTGGTTTCGATATTGGTCTTACTGGCCACTTAAACACGCCACTCGTGACTGCATTTAATTGTAGCGCCATCGCAGATCTCCATACTTATCACACAATAAGTCTGTTCCAGCTGCAGCGTCTTTACTAGCCGTTTTCCGGTAACGGCTTTTAACGAAGAAAATTCTTCAGATTTCCTCGCTCACGCAATCCCCGGCTGGCCACCGTCTCACAAATGAACTAAGCTCAAAGTTACTTTACGGCTGGCGGTTTACTGGCAATCAGTTCCTCTTGGCGCCAAATCCCCTTAGACTCACGACCAGAAATTTTTTTAACCGAACACTTGCGGTCATAATCCTTATGTAACATCTTCACTGACGAGATTATAGGTCTGATGCTTAAGAATGTGCTTTGAATTACGCTGTAAACGTCGTGCCGTTTATAGCCCCTCGGCACGGACCAACTGAAAACACAGCTCTTCTATTGTTGCGTGTGTGTATGATGCAGGCGTTGCCTAATTACGGCCGCTGTTCCGTTGTTTGTTTCGCGGCTGTTGTCTAGAAACGAGTGTTGTTTCAGAGCCGTTTGCTAACAACGGCTGTTTCTCTGGCTCCACAGTCCAGCATATACTCGTATGTCACAATAGATTTACACATCTTTTTAAGTAGTGTCATTTATTTTAAAAACGTATATAGCAATCGAAAACAGAAATAAGAAGTTATTTATATAAATAATAAGCCAAGCAAGAAAGAAGAGTGCAGCAAATTGCAAGCTACGACATTGAATACGAAGAAGACAAGTTCCTCCGAAACGTCGGTTGACTTTCAACAGACGACTCGCAGTTATATACCAGAAGATATAATTTCATAACGCAAAAAATTAATTTAATAAAATATGTTTATTTTTATTGTTTAACTAACTGCTAAAATACAAGAGTAATGCTCAGACACAGACAGTGATGCGATATTAAGAATTATTCACTTTTCTGTTTCCGTATTTTATTCCATGTAAACACTCTTCTCTCGAAAGACTCATGGAAAACCAGAGCGCCGCGGCACACCGGTTCACACCCCACTGCTCCACAGCATCTGTCTTTAAAACATAACCACAAGGAGGAGAATCCTTAGTGAGAAACTGACGGTCACTAACTTCTCCGACTTCCATGGAACCCGAAGGCCACTTGCCAGCCACTGGCTACTGCCTTCAGCAAATTAATGCAATTCGCAACATAGAAACCTATTCTTTTAGATACATTTTAACGTTATCCTCGCATCTACTTCTATATTTTCCAAGTGGCCTCTTTTCTTTCGGGTTTTCAGCTAATATTTGTTTTTGCTGTCTTTTTTCAGACTGATCGAATTTGAAGGTCGAAGCTACAAACCCGCTTCAGTCGACTGAACTTTGTTCAACAACCTACGATATCTCCAATGTAAATTCAGTGACGTAAGCGCGTCACTGTTCCATTCTGTAGGGCTGCAGGGCTGTGGTAATTATGTGTGAACCTACCACCTGCCACAAAGGCGCTATTTCGTCCCCTCCCCCTCCCAAAAACCTGACAGCAACTGTTTTGTTTCAGTGTGTTCTAGGTGCTTACTTCTACTTGCTGAACAACGGTACAGACGTGTCTGGTATACGCTGGTTGCCAGTCCTGTCCCTAGTTTTCTACATCATTGTCTACTCTTTTGGTAAGCCAGATTCAATTTTTGCCACTTGCGAGATATTCTCGGAAGCTCTGAAAATCGTCACATTAACTAAAACGTCTATATTGCTTAGTGTAATAGACAAACATTAAATGTACTTATATAAAATTCTGCGCATAAGATTTACATTAAAATTTCTTAATAATATTTAACTCTGACCGCTGCCAGTCCAGAAGAGTGAGGCCTCCCGCTGAATTCCCAACGAGCGCTATAAACAACCTCGTGTTACAGGTTTTGGTTCGCTTACGTGGGCTGTTGTTGGCGAGCTGTTTGCTTCAAACGTGAAGAGTAACGGTTCAGCCTTAAGCGCCTCTTTCTGCTGGTTCATCGGCTTCTTCATCACCAAGTTCTACAGCAACATGGCGACCGAGCTGGGGAATCACTACACCTTTTGGATTTTCGCCGCTCTTACTGCCTGTTCCGGTGTCTTCGTATATCTGCTACTCCCGGAAACCAAAGGGAAGTCTCTTCAACAGATTCAGATGATTCTCAACAGATGACGTAACTGTGGGGTGATCATTAGGATCCTGTGATATGCCACGGTGCACGGGCAGTTTGCAGCTCATTAATGGACGCTAACAGAGTTCACAAATACCATTCAACGTGTTTCGGCCACACAGGGCTACCATCGGGTGTATATGACGATTTGCGTATTGTAGTTGTACGTGGATCCTGAAGGCTGTATGTCCGAAAAGTTTAATACTTAAACCAACTTACTACCTGTTAAAATTTAATATATAAAACTATTTAATTATTTAAATTATGTAAAATGAAGTAAAGTGTATGTGTCGTGAATGTTGCACCACACAGTACATCATTTCGCATCATTGTAAATAATTGTTAAAATCATGTAAATATCCATCTCTATGTATGGCGGAGTAGCATCTTACGGGGGGGAAGAGATTAAGATCTAAAAATGGCGCGCAAACCCAAAATCGCTTATGGTTGGAATTTCCATTGAAAATCCCTGAAATCGTACATTAAGTACATTATTTTATATGTAATAAACATGTATATAATGTAAAGACCTATAATATAGAGCAATATATAAGTAAAATGTGCAATGATTTTACTTGTAATTACATAAAAGTATAGAGAGGCAGTAAACCTGCGGCCACTTAGGGCCTGATGTGGATCCAGGAGACGCAGGGACAGACTTGGATGACGGAGAACGAGACGTAGACGAACTGTACGCGTTATTAATCCCGGCGGGACGTGTATTTCAATTAGCCTGACTTAAATGCGCGTTTGATGTGATTCATCTGCATGACGGCGAGATGGCTTTGAATGGACTAAAGCGTTTGTCGACAAGTACTGGGAGTCCGCTGGAAAACCGTGGGGTGCACCATTTGTCAGTCTTACACGCAGTCGCTAATCGCAAATGCACGATAACAGACGGCGTTGCTAACGTTGACTGTTTGGCATATTGGAGTAATATATTCATACATTGCTTATCGTAATTGGATTTATTATTGCTGAACTGAGGTTGTTAACGAGTAACAGGTTTATGCTTGCTTACACATTAATTGAATTTGTTGTGAGTGAATAAAACGTTGACCGCCCGTTAGACTGAACTCCGCACGAATAACAAGTCTATCAGTGCTTGGCCAATGGACGTCGGCACGCGCATTCGCGCGTGGAGTCTGGATGTACACTGATGTTGCAAGTCACGTGCACATTATCATTCAGACTTCAGACTTGTGCTCAGTGATGCAATTTCATCATTACAATAATTTGGTTTACACTTTCATTAACTGCGCTTTCTTTTACGTCATGTAAATCACTGAATTAGTATTTATTGGCCTTTATTAGCTTCTCCTGACAAATTTTCATTTCGCGGAATGCTCCAGACTCATTTCTCAGGCGATGCTGGTATAACAGGCCTAATAGTGACCGGCGTGTGAAGTGGACACGGGCTCAGCCTACCCCTAGAAAAGCAAAGTTCCTTGTCGAACTGAAGCCTGGAACACGACGTCAAGTAAAAGTGTGGCTCTAATGTTTACGCCAGACACAGTTCCAATAGTCCAGGACATAACATATTCGCAATGCTTCCTGGGAACAAGCCAAAGATCATGTTCGCAAAATTCTGAGGAAATATACGGTATATCATACCGTGTAGAGCCGTTTCTAGGCAACGGATATGCATGCAAGAATAGGGGTACTTCTGGAAACTGTTTTTTCTAGTCGGTCCGTGCAAAGGCGTTATAAGGAGGACAAATGAGGCAAGTAGAGACAATTGTAAATAAGACAGGCAGTTGGAAGGCAGCGCCGTTCAGAGAAGACTTGAGCCCGGAAGCAGGAAAATATGACTGTTAGAAACCGTTACCAGGAAACGTCCACTAAAAACACTGTAGGCTGGAAAAGTCTTAGCGTGATTTGTAAAGTGTAAATATCGACAGTGTTATTATAGCTATTTGTAGTTACGATCTGTAAGTGGTCAATAAATCCAACATCCAATCCAAAATCCCGTCTGTAGTCACTCCACACTACGAGGCCATTCAGAATCAACACACATCACTTAAATGCAATCACAGGTGAGAACTGAATATTGACAATAAAGTAAAAGTTAACAAAGACAATCCTGCGCTTAATTAAGCACATAACAGCGGACTCGATGATTCTATACATTTTAACATGGGGCATTAGATGGAGTGTTCAGCTTCACACCCCAGCCGCTTTAACCTTATGAAACAACATGCTGAACACATTGTATAGAAGAGTGCGTGGGTGCTAGAGCCGGTTCCTTGACCGTCCAGCCAACAGACTGTCTCTACACCGACTGAGCCATCGCAGCACCGGTCTCATAAGTTACGAAACACACACAAAAACATGAAGGTAGTCGTACCCCTGAACTTAAACGACACGGCATTAAGACGTACATGGATCTTGAGGGAAAACTTCCACGCTGCGTTGTCTTTATGCCAGTAGCGTCGCCAAAGGACAGGAGACGTGGCTCTCCAGTGAGTAGCCCTCTCTGTACTTACTGAACTAGCAAGGCTCCTCGACACATTGCTCTTCTGGTTTTAATTATTATTTAACTATGCTTATTAAAATTTTAAGTTCTATAGCGACAACCTGTAAGGCAAAGTATCTTGAACAATTAGTAGGTAAGAATTTAGGAGGTGGCCGTGGTTTAATTCAAGGCACTCTCCCAAAATTCCCCTGTAGAGTCTGAGGAAAACTGGGAAAAGTCTCAATAAGGAAAGCCGCTAATTCGGAAAGGATTTTAAATGGCTACTTTCCGACTACAAGTCCACAATCGAGACAGTTCCTTTGGTCGGCCAAGTAACTCCATCACCTACCACAACTGCGCTGTGGGGAACTCCTCGCTTTCAAATCGTAGGTGGACCCGTAAGGAGGAGAATGAATGGAAGGGTGGTGAAGGGGTGATGACCTTGGCCTGCCAAAGAAATTTCCTCAAGCTTCAGCGACTTATTTAGCATCTGCGCTATAAAGTATTACGATTAATCCAAAGGGCAGTTATCGAAACACAAAAATTATATCTGTTCAGGTGATATCGGTGTGACTTGAATCTTGCTCCAAGGTCAGTGTGTATGGAGGACAACCCTATTGTGTCCGAAGAGAAATGCTTTATCTCCTCTTATCAACAAAGCAAGTTCAAGACAGTTTCACCACACTTTACGGAATGATAATAGAAGGTTATTCCGTGACCGCTTCGAGTTCAGTTTAGGGTCATTTCGGCTTATCACATGCTGACGCTGCCAGACTTCAGGCTACAAGTCCTTTGTGACCAATCAGAGCAGACGGACTTCTGTGACGCTGTTGACACAAAAGTGGTTGTTTATTTTTATACACACTTTCGCTGGTTTATGAGGAAAAGTTATGTAATCACATTTATATGAGTGTCTACGTGTGCTTATCCCAATAAACAGCTTACAAATGAACTGTCTTCTCCACACATCATCCGATATAATCTAAGCGTCATAATTCTCAAATAACTGCCTCCTATAACACTAGCTGTGCGAACTTCAGTGGTGGGAAAAATGCCACATAATGAAGAGTACACTCTTCTGGTTTGTAACGCCGCGTAATTTGGTAGAATTCCACCGAACTTTCAGAGGGACATTTCGCCTCAATTTCCATCGCCGAAGAGTAAGCGAAGCAAGAAAGTAAGATCATGTACAAAGTACCCTTCGACCCTAAAGATTGAAGAATTTGGTGGAATGAAGACTGGCAAGGGAAACCGAAGTACTTGGAGAAAACCCACCCCAGCGCCACATTGTCCACCACAAATCCCACTTGACCAGACCCCGAGATCGAACCCGGGCCGCCGCGGTGGGAAGGCATTGACTAACCGCTTGAGGTATGGATGCATGTTAGATACTATCAGTGATTTGGTAGGTAAAGTTGAGAAGATAGCAAGAAAACCATGGGTTACACAGGAGATGATGAGTAAAATGGAGGAGCGAAGGAAATGGAAGAATGTCAACAATGAAGAAGGCAGGAGGAAATACAGGAGACTGAGGAATGAATTGAAAAGAGCCACGGACAGGGCCAAAAAGGAATATCTTGAGAAGATATGTAATGAGATTATGGAATTTCAAAGAACAGGCCGTTATGATTTGATGTACATGAAGACAAAAGAACTAGGATGGAAAGAGAATCATGGGATTCAAAATGTTGGCATCGAAGACTCCCAGGGGAATAGAATAGTAGATCAGAGGCAAGTGCTGAAAATTTGGGAAAATTATATTTCAGAACTATATGATCGACCTAATCGGCCAGAAACCTTAGAAGTTGAACCGGAAGAAGAAGTAGATACAGACGAGAAAGGACCATATATTTTACAAAGTGAGGTGGAAAAAGCTATCAAGGAAATGAGGAAGGGAAAGGCTACAGGAGATGATGATGTACCTGGAGATGTGCTCAAGTTACTGGGAGAAGGTGGTTTGAAAACACTGACAAAACTAATGAACACCATATATGAAAGTGGAGAGTGGCCCAAGGACTTTACAGAAGTTACAATGATTGCCTTAAAGAAAAAGACAAAAGCTACAAAATGCAGCGACCATCGCACAATAAGTCTTATTGCACATACAGCAAAGATAATAGCAAAGATACTTAAAAGAAGAATTGAAAGGAAAATAGAGGATGTACTTGGAGAAGATCAGTTTGGATTTAGAAGAGGAAAAGGAACCAGGGATGCAATTGGGATGATGAGAATTATAGCGGAACGAACTTTGGAGATAGATGAAGAACTGTGTGTTTGCTTCATAGACTGGCAGAAGGCATTTGACCGGGTAAACTGGACCAAATTAATGCAGATCCTGAAAGAAACAGGTATCGATTGGCATGAAAGAAGATTGATTAGCAAATTGTACATGGATCAGAAAGTTAGAGTACGACTGGACAGGGGGGAGACAGGAAGTGTGCAGATTGGAAGAGGAGTTCGACAAGGATGCTGTTTATCACCAATTCTGTTCAACTTGTACAGCGAATGCCTTACCAAGGAAGCTCTGGATGGGCTCGGTGACTTCAAAGTAGGAGGGCAAATTATTCAAACTGTGAAATATGCAGATGACCTTGTGTTAATGGCTAAGGAAGAAACTGTGCTACAGGGCATGATTGATAGACTAATTGAAATTGGAAGGTGCTATGGCATGGAAATGAATGTGGAGAAAACAAAAGTAATGAAAATTTCGAGACAACCAACCCCAGTCACAATAAAGATAGACCAAAAACAAGTGGAGAATGTGAAATGTTTTAAATATTTGGGTAGCTTGTTAACAGATGATGGAAGGTGTACTTGTGAAATTAAATCCAGGATTGCCATGGCAAAAGCTGCATTTAGCAAGAAGAAGAATCTTTTTACCAGCAAATTGGACTTAAATTTGAGGAAGAAACTAGTGAAATGCTACATTTGGAGCATAGCTCTGTATGGGGCTGAAACATGGACACTTAGGGCAGTAGATCAGAAACATCTGGAAAGTTTCGAAATGTGGTGTTGGAGAAGAATGGAGAAGATCAGTTGGACCGATTATGTGAGAAATGAAGAAGTGTTAATTAGAGTCAGTGAGCAGAGGAATATCCTACATGAAATAAGAAAACGGAAGGCTAATTGGATTGGTCATGTTTTACGCAGAAACTGCCTTCTAAAAGAAGCTATCGAAGGAAAGATAGATGGGCGGATAGAAGTGACAAGAAGACGAGGAAGAAGACGTAAGAAGATGCTGGATGACCTTGGGGACAGAAGAGGATACTGTCATTTGAAGGAGAAAGCTCTAGATCGCATTAAGTGGAGGAATTGTTTTGAAAGAGACTGTGGACCTGTCGTCTTGACAGATTACTGATGATGATGAGCACACGTAATTATAGACGGGGTTTGAATTGGTGAATAGATTCCCAGTATTCATCTGGCGAAACTGAGGAAAACCTATTCATAATAGCCCGTGTCAAGATGAAGGAACTGCAGATAGACACAGTGTTCTTTCGAAGGAGTCGAAAACAATTCGAAGTTTGTTGCCCTTACAATCATTTCGCGACTTTTCAGCCCAGCGATAACTGCCGATACACAAATTAGAGATTATGACCTTGACTGTACATCACAACGAAACACATGATTTGACCAGAGCTAGTCCTATAAATGTCAAAGATTAGTGTCACGTCCGTTAGTTAAGTAGTGAAGTCTTTCTAGACGATGTGTTTGGCACAATGCCTCAGTATTTTCTTATTAAAGACATGTACGAGATATCAGCTGATATGAAAGGTCAAGTATGATAATAAATTTATCTATTATAAGTTACATATATTTCAGCTGTTGTTCTAGCAAAACTAATAATCACTGGCAGAAACTCTCAGCCACAAATGCAGGAGAAGAGAAAAAACGGTGCGCTAACTTAACGACGTTTCTTCTGGAAGCTGCCCTCACACTCCGGAACTCCATCAGCGTAAACGGTCGGCGCTCATTTCTTTTGCTTGTGACTGCTGACTGACATGGCGGGCCGCGTCTTGGCAACGGAGAACAGCCGCGCAGAACTAACTATAAGCAGCAGCACTGAGCGAACTAAGAAGTTCCCACAGTATCTCGCTGCCATTCTGGGTGAGTCAAATCTGTCTGATTTCTTTTAAATTAACGTTTAAACATGAAGTAACTACCAAACTCCACGGAGCCGAGTCCTTCTTGAGAAGCCGCCAGTCGCTCAGCTACTCAGAATTTCTCAACGTTTTATGGAACCCGAAAATTCATAGTTTTAATCATACGAACCTTCAACTGGTCCCTATCCTGAGCCAGATCAATCCAGTCCATACCTATCTCTCTAAGATCTATTTCAATATTCTATTCAACGACCTACATCTAGCTCTTCCTAGTGGTCTCTTTCCTTCTAGCTTTCCCACCAAATCATATATGAATTCTTGTCATCGTGCGTGCTACATTCCCCGTTAATTTCCTAATTATAAAACATTGGATGAAATACTGCTTTGCATTTTTGGAGACAGGGAAGAAGGGAGCACTTTTACACATACACAGACGGCAACACACGTTCGGGACAATCATGTAATTTGCATGTCTGTCAAGGCAGCCTAAATTCTGCCTCAATACTCAATTGGCCTATCGCCAATGACATGTAATCTTCACCCAGTGTTCGTCTTCTTTAACCAACATTTACACTGAAACTATTTCACTGTGTGTGACCATATCCATCAGTCGGTAAACACAATGTTTACCTTAGCTTAAGACGTTCACTTCGTCACATCGCTCCCCGTCTGTTCCACATAAGATATTTACTTATCTAGATGGCTTCTTGTTCGTATAACATAAGTCGTATAGAACGAAAATATGTTTGACAAATATGGAAAAGTGTGGGAATTATGTTGATAACACTGTCGCATAGTATGCGTGACTATAGACAGGGTTTGGATTTGTGAGTAGATTTATTTGTACACATATAATTCCGTCTAAAATGCAGCTTATTATCTGGTCACCTTTCTTCCTCACTACATGTCTCGGCCGTATATGGCCAGCATGTGTCTCCTATCTTGCTAAAATAGTTGCACTGCATGTCAAAGTTACGTATCTCGTGTGAACGCAATATTTCCTAATTAAAATTAATTAAAATTATTTAACATCCAAGTGCTTTCCTTGTGATTGCAGTCCATTCGTTTAAAAGATATTTGCTTGGGGATTGTTCGTCATTTTTTTCTTCAATACCATTTTTTACAGATCTGCAACGCGTGGCTGGCTCAGAAAATCCACTTCCTTCCCTGATCTTGGGGCTAAATGAATTATTTTACATAATGTAAATAATAAGATCAAACAGAAATTAGTTAGAACATGCAATTGACAAACTACCTAGGTAAAATTCCTTGAGAATTTTCCCGTTGCTTAGCTGGTCAATAGATTCCTAGAACATGCTACAGCTCAGGCGGTTAGGCGCCGAGTTCCCACGGCCAATATTTGGGTTTGGTCCCAGGTCGGTTCATGTGAGACTGTTGTGGACAAGGTGGCAGTAGGATAGGTATCTCTGCGAGTGTCTCTGTTACCCATACCAATTCTCATTCACCCAACTATTTCGCGTTCATCCAGACATCGGACCCATAGAGTATCGATAGTGACAGCGTCGTCAAATAACCAACTTAAAAGAATTCCCGCGAATGTTCATTACCATGTTCACAAAAGTCCACCACTCGGACAGTTAAATTTATTTCACACCCTCGCACGTGTTATTTTGCGATTAAATTTCCTGTATGACCTCCAGGTTTAAGGCATGAAATGTCTTCGTCAGCTCAAACACTTGCATGGTGGGTTCGAATCCCACTCGAGTTACAGATGCCTGTCCATATTTCTTCTGTTTGTTTTGTCCTGTGTAGATAGGGGTTCATCACCCGTCCAAAGAGTCCAACCGACTGTCCATACGATCCATAATTCAAATTAATTCTAATAGGAAAAAGGCCAGAGTGCCTTACACGAAATGCAGATGCGTCTACCTGTCATGACTACTGAGCTCTCACGTCACGAATATGCCCGGGCCACAAGGTCAGTGCACCGAGCCGCTCTCCGGACAGCAGTACATCAGTCCCCTGTCACTTGTTGCAGGCACACAGGCCGCCCTGGTAGCTGGCTCCTTCATGTCTTGGACATCCCCGGCCCTACCGCTTCTACAGAAACACGGAAGCCTTCCTTACGTCACAGATGAGGAAGGATCCTGGATTGGATCCCTTCTGAACCTCGGGGCTTTCATGGGCGCCCTGCCGGCCGGGTTGGTAGCCGACAGGATGGGCCGCAAATTCACCCTGTCCGTCCTGGCAGTGCCATTGTCAGCTTCTTGGCTCATAATAGGCTTCGGCAACTCCGTCACGGAGTTGTTCGTCGGCCGGTTCATAGCAGGCATTGCAGTCGGTGCGGTGAGTGTGACGGTTCCGATGTACATAGCAGAACTTGCTGAGAGTTCCATCCGTGGGGCGCTGGGAACGCTGTTCCAGTTGCAGATGACGCTCGGCATCCTGTTCAGCTACTTGGCGGGTATGGTTGGGGACCACCGAGCCCTCAGCTTCATATCTTGCGCCCTGCCCGTGGTCTTCTTCATCACCTTCACCTGGATGCCGGAGTCGCCTGTCTTCCTTCTCTCAAAGAACAGGTGAGACCGCGCTGCAGGTAAAGGTAAAGCAGTCCCTGTGCACCATGCCATTAAGGCGTATGGGGAAAAGAGGTATAGATCCACCATCTTTGACCTCGGCAATATATGGAGAATAGTGGTCAGCTTCACGGCCCGGCACTTTACCTCCAGTCCCCATTGGATAAAAAGTTGGGTGAACCCCAGAGTCGGCACCACGTCCCAGAAAACAGAAATCATTATGGTTCGTTATTCGTTAATTTGATGACACTATACTAACTGAAGTTGTATTTAGCACCGAATGACTTGATGGAGTGATCAGAGTTGGGCGGTCAGTAAGTAATGCAATGATTCACTTAATTACCTGGCTTAAGAATAAAGCGTACTGCATAATACGTGTTCCGTGCGACCGTTAAACTAACATCCTGAACTCCATCTGGTCTACGAAACAGAGTACCTTGTGTCGGTGACGTTGCGGAAGAAACCTGCCTGTATAAGTATGTCTGAATTTCCCACCGGTATATATCGGAAGCATCCTCAGTACTCAGAATATAGTAACTTTATAATGACGCAATAGTCAACGTCATCATCTATTATGAAGGTCAGTAAATACGTCACAAATTGAAGTAAAACAGCCTGTAATGAACGTCATAGGTTTTTATATGTATATCAATATGTAACAGCACAATCCAGCTTCATGACAGTCTAGGTAGCAGACGCGCATGCGCATGTTTAGAGGCTGGTTTCAGTACTCAAAATTTCCGACGGTTCTTGATGAATATATTACAGAACAGCGTTTTCTTGTGTGTTCTTCGTGGGGAAAATGTTTCCATGCAAAGGACATTCATAAAGAAATTATTCCTCTTTACGGTGGGAAGTGTTTGTCGCGGAAAGCGGTTCAAAACTAGGTCGGGAAACATATAAAAATTATCACTGATAACGAAGATGTTGAAACGGAGGTGCGGAAGTGGCTGAGACCACAGTCAAAAGACTTCTTTGCTGCGGGTTTGGATGCACTGGTAAAGCGATGGGACAAGTGTATCAGTGCTGGTGGAGGATACGTCGAGAAATACTTTTTTTTTTCCCCCAGATTCAAATATCACATGTTTTGCGTTTTATATCCATGTGTGACCTATTTACTCATTCTCCGACGTAACAATAACGCAACCTCGTTCCCACCACATAACAGATGCAGCTTTATGATATACAGATATATGTATATTTTGCAGGAAGGACGCGGCTAGGAAGGCCTTGCAGTGGTTCCGGGGCCAGGATTATGACGTGGATGACGAACTGACCAAGATGACGGACACGCTCAAGGAAGCGAAGCAGAACAAAGGCACTCTGGGTGATCTGATGTCCTCCCGGGGCACAGTTATGGCTCTCATCGTCGCGCTGGGCACAATGACATTCCAGCAGATGAGCGGCGTCAACGCCGTTATCTTCTACTCGGGGAAGATCTTCGAGACATCAGGCAGCTCTCTCTCTGCCACGTCTGCCTCCATAGTGATCGGCGTTGTTCAGGTACATACAGTTCTTACAGAACCCCGACAGGTCCTGAACCTCATCACAAAATCCTAAGCCTGCGCAGTCCATGCGATATTTCAACAGCCTCGCTTTCCTACAACGTATAATTGCAATGTAAAAGTAAAGTTGTCCCTGTGCTTAATTAATTAAGCATCGCGTCATGAAGACGTGTAGGGGAGTTGAGATATAACTCTATCATTCTTGTAAGTGGCCAGCTTCACGCCTCTCCAGCCTTACCCCCGGAACCTATTCGATAGGGGATTGTGTGAGCCCCAGAGCACTTCTGAACCCTGTGGTAAAAGATAAAAAGGGTGAAGTTGTCCTTGTGCTTAACTAATTAAGCACAACGCCATGACGGCGTATGGGGGGTGGATGTATAGATCCAAATTTTCTTGACCTCGGCACTAGCTGGAGGTGAGTGGTTAGCTTTACCCCCTGGGAAAGAGCCCCCGGCAACCATTGGAGGTTGGAGGTTGGGTGGACCCCATAGCCAATCTGGACGACTTGCAGAAGAGAAAATTCTTGCCCCCCACCGGGACTCGAACTCCGACCCCTCGGTCGTCCAGCCCGTAGCCAGTCGCTATCCCGGCTCCTTCTGGGCCCCGTGAACAAGAGAGAAATCTTATCTCTAGTGGGAACAACAATGGCCGTCCAGCCCGTAACCGTCATTAATGAAGAATATCATAGAACTAAGAAATTTTTTGGTCAAACGTAACAAGACATCATCCAGTGCCACGGACGTGACAAAGTATGCATAATGTTGCAGGTCCTAGCCACTTACTCGTCCACACTTCTAGTTGACAGAGCAGGCCGAAGAGTCCTCCTGCTTATCTCCTCATCCGTCATGGCCATCTGCCTCACCGTCCTCGGCCTGTGTTTCCACCTGCAGGAACATGGGCATGACGTCAGTTCCATCAGCTGGCTTCCGCTTGCTAGTGTCGCCGTGTTCATAATCGTGTTTTCCATGGGGTTCGGGCCAATTCCTTGGATCATGCTTGGCGAGCTGTTTCCAAACAACGTGAAGGGCATAGCTTCAGCTGTGACTGCAGCATCTTCTTGGATCCTAGCTTTCGCCGTCACCAAGGCATTCCAAAACTTGCTGGACCTCCTTGGGTCACCTGTCACGTTCTGGCTGTTTGCAGTGATGTGCATTGCCGGAACTATCTTCACGGCTGTTCTCGTACCGGAAACGAAGGGCAAAGATCTGCAGGAAATTCAGCGAGAACTGAGTAGGCAGAGGAAGTCTGAAAGGGAACTGGAGGATGTGGTGGATGAATCCAACACAAAACCAATCTGAGGATGTACAAATGTCCTGTGTATCAGGGACGCTTCGAGAAGACATACATGACTGGTAATTTTGTTTTAAAAACTAGCATCAGTTTCAGACGAATATCTGATGTGGATGCTTTTGAAGAATATTGATTCATAGAGTTCCTACGGATTCAGTTCCTATAAGCTTCTAGTGGCTATCCTTGGCAGATATTACGTGTCACAGTTATCTGGAGATTATTTTTACGTATCCTTAACAACGTCTTGATTCGACTCAAGATGAACACAGCACATTACACAGGAAGATGGACGTCACATGATAAAACACATATTTCAGCAAAGGTTGTCACCGTGACTCGGTGAGCGCACTTTCTTTCTCTGAAGAATTGCAGTAGGGACACAAGATCTATGTTCCATGGCCAACTGTTCCAAATAGCCTACAAATCAATCTCTTAAATTTCATAAAAACACATAAAAGACGTATACATACAGAGAAGTATTACAGAATTAAATTACTTTCATCGTAAAAAAAGTCGAAGTCCTAAAATCGCGAATTCAAATTCTAATGTGTGAGAAAAATAAACTGCGCGAAAATCAATATTTTTCATTATGCTTACGCAACCTAGTCTGCTGGGAGAAGTTCACCGAAGCTTCGATGGAACATACTGCCTCCATCTTCGAGATCGTAGAATAAGGTAAGCAATCAAAAAGTAAGAAGAACGCAAAAAACTGTCTGCGTTCGAGCCAAATATCTGAAGCAGGTTTTCCGCGCATCGCCGATCTTCTTCCTGCTTCTATGATGCTGCTTTCTTGCTTGGATTATTCTTAGATCTTACAGTTTGTTACTCCTAAGAGTCAGCGAAATTCTACCAGACTGCACGGTGTAACGATCCACTTCTGTGATGACCTAAGACCTAAAAATATCTCAATAAATCCTAAAGCAGTAAGACAGGTGAAACGAGTTGAAGCAGCTGCGGCCGTGTTTCTATTGTGAGTGGTTACATTTAAACTTATTTTTGAGCACATACATTTGCAGACACGAGAAATCCTGAACGCCACTCGCCACTTCCTATACTCATAATATCGTCGCCTGAGTACTGCAGTGTGAATGTTCGGGAAACTGGGTTTGAAGTAGGGGAATCCCCTGCTGTTTTAAAGTCTGACTTGGAGCAAGCCCCATTCTGAAATCAGACATTACCTGGCGACCGCCGATTGTCAGCGAAGTTAGTGCCAACTTTTGAAGATAGAGAGTGTCGCGTGGTCAGCGCAATGGATACCCACGGATGTTAATCTCGGTTTTTTAGACCAGAGCCCCTAGTTCCTTGAAATAGCTCCTCAATTATCCTCATGAAGCTGAGTGGACATCGTTCAAGACCCACTACTTCTCAGAAAATCTGGCAGCGCCGGGAATTGAACCCGGGACATCTGGATATATAGCCAGGAACTCTGACCACTAGACCACAGAGGCGGTAATGGAACACAAAACGGAGATTCGTAAAATAAATTATCTCATTTTCGCCCTGAACTCCATATAGAACCCTCCAACAGTCAAGAGAAGATGTATTGATACAAATAGATCAATACACCGACAATTAATTCATGGTCGTGGCATTATCACACAAATAATCCATTTTCATAAGCAAATGGAATTTTCAGACGTGAGTACGTCACTTCTGTCTGAATACTGACATGAAACTCAGTGAGCTCCTTACACCGGTACAGTTTACCTCCAAATAGTACAAATTAGGCGGCAAGATGAAAGCTACAAGATTTTTATTGTAACTGATACAATAATCTGTAAGAGCGCCTTCCGCATGCTGAATCGTACCTGAGTTTAAGATCAAACAAGTTATTCTTAATGACCTGTATATACATAATAATTTGCACAAATCTCTCAAAATTCTTGATCTTACCTCTGAAACGTTATTATAATTAATATATATTTTTTCCCATAACTTTCGTGTCTTATTTTTATATATGGTGTAAACATAGCGAATATATATTTTAATATATTTTCACAAAATACGTACTACTGATTTGTCATTTAAATTATACGCACAGTTCTCCAAACCACCTATTCATTAAGTAAGATTTCAGGTTTGCACGGCGGTGACTATGAAGAATGCCGTCTTCTGGGATGTGGCGCCGTGTAGATCTTGTGTGAACCAGGAACGTATAGCCTCCATCTTCAGGGTAGAAAAATCCGCGAGCGAGGATCCAGCTTGAGCAAGTGGCTGCAGACTGAGTCACCAGCCGAAAACATACAGCTATATAGGAACAGGGAGGGAGGGAGAGTGGGCCACATGGGAAATCAATAGAGAGGAGAGGGGACTGCAGACTGCAGCCACCTGCTCAAGCTGGTTCCTCGCTCGCGGATTTTTCTACCCTGTAGTTGGAGCCGATACGTTCCTCCGAAACGTCTGTTCACACAATATCTACACGGTGCGACATCCCAGAAGACGGCATTCTTCACCTACTCACTATTTGAATACGCTACTAGTAGGAACTAGGAAGGCTTTGCAGGAGTCTGCGCAGGAGGTGCAACCTGGATAATACTGGTTACTCAGTGAAAGCAGTTGAGTGTGCGGTGCGCTTAAGATTAAATGATTTTGTGTTACTCCAGTAACCGACAAGTAGCACAGCGAAATGTGGGAGCGCATTGAATATGATTAAAAGAGCAAAAGTAACTACGGTGAACGCAAAATAACGATTCCCTTAACGTGTATAAAAAGAGGAAATTCATAATTAATTTTTAAATTTAGTGGGTCTGCTAGAGAAAAATAAATATACTGATAATTATTTTATAATATATAATAATATATAAAGGTAAAGTTGTTCCTGAGCTTAACTAATTAACTGCCACGCCATAAAGGCGTAGGATGTATAGATCCATATTTTCTTGAACTCGGCACTAGTTTGTGTGTTGTCAGCTTCACGCCCTGGTCGCTTTACCACCGGGAAAAACCACCAGCACAAATTGGATAGGACCTTGGGTGAATCCGAGAGCCGGTCGGAACGACATGGAGAATAGAAAATTCTTGGCCCTACCGGGACACGAACACCCGACCCCTGGGTCGTCCAGCCCGTAATCAATCGCTATACAGACTACGTTATCCAAGCTCCTATACAATAATATATACTTTATAATAAATAATGCTGTTTTAATTTCTTAGAAATAGACTGCAGCACCCTGTTGCACTGCATATTCTGACCTCGCTGTCTTTGTGCATATATTCACTTCAACGTCAACCTGACCGACCTTCTTCATTGCTTCCTCAGTTCCTTCAGGCATATGCCAGGACACCTAACGTTAGGCAACGACCACTTCCTTGCACAACATTTCCAATTCACTGTTTAGTAATCATCCTACATTCACCGCAATACAGTCTGAGGAATAAGAAGCGTCGTTAAACAAATAACTGTTGTGTGACCCGACCGACCAAGGACTCTCTTATCTGGTTTTGTAAGCTTGTTCACAGTAACCTTGTAGAGATCTCAGGACCTGGGGGGGGGGGGGAGATCGCTACACGCACAGGACAACACGAACACGAGACATATTTCTGAAGATTTTCCTGCACATCTTTATAGCACGACGCTTACGAGTGACGGCCTGACAGAGTGACTTCCATAAATTCAACGAACTTACCAGCATATTAACCGTCACTTAATGTATTCAACGGGCGAGGTAGGTGTCGGGTCCGTTACTGAACCCGCTAATGAGGATTATTTCACAGGAAACGCTTACTTAAGCTTCCTCGTTCATAAAACATGGAACAGTCAGAAGATCTAAAAGTCTGTGACGACGGTACACTGTACTTTAGAGAAAAGAAGCAAAATGGATAATGTCCGCAAACAAAATATTTGTGTCTTTCACAGTTTTTCTGCTATTAAATGTCTAATGTATTCTGTACAGCCTATTTCTCAAATTTATGGTTCTGTATCGGTGGGAAACTTGTTCTGTGACATTAAGGGGGAAACATGGACTGAGGGTGTCTCAGAACAGGGTGTTGAGAATATTTGGACCGAAGAGAGATGAAGTCATAGGAGGTTGCAGAAAACTGCATAAAGAGGAGCTTCATAACTTGTACTCTTCTCCAAGTATAATTGCAATGGTCAAGTCAAGGAGGATGAGATAGGAAGGGCATGTAACACAAATAGGATATTGGCGGGAAAGCCAGAAGGAAAGAGACCACTGGAAAGACCAAGGCGTAAGTGGGTGGATAATATTAAAATTGCTCTTAGAGAGATATGATGGGATGGGATGGATTGAATTTATCTAGCTCTTGACAGGGACCCGTGGAGGGCCTTGTGAACACGGTAATAAACCTTCCGGTTCCATAAAATGCTAGGAAGTTCTTGAGTGGCTGCACAATTAGTGGCTTCTCAAGAAGGGCTCGGCTAGATTAAGGTAGTTACTTCTCGAATTTTATATAATTTACTGATAGATGTTCCCTTTAATATGCAATTCCGTTATTGTTCAATTACATACATTAAAAACGGATCAGAATTACGAACCTAACGAGGCATGATGCCTGCTGCAAAACCAAAATTTGAGCTCCTTCAGAGTTTCGTAGCTCCTGTATAATTTTATGCGTATATCCACCTGATGATGGTAACATAGACATTGAAACACACAGTGCTAACCACATCTGCAGAAATAAAGCCCGTGGGATGGATGTCTCGTTCCAAAGTAAATTTCTTTTTGTGCTTAATTAAGCACCACACCACAGAGACGTATGGAGACATAAAGCCAAGCATTCCCATCCTCGGAAATAGATGCATGTGAGTGAATAGCTTGAGACCCCGGCCGCTTTATCCTTGGCGAAATATCCGCAGTACCAATTTGATAAGAAGTCTGGCAGGTTTGGACGTGACGAAGTAGAGAATTATCTCTTGCCCCTGCTGAGAACCGAACCCCGAATACTCGGCCGTCCAGGATGTAGTTCGTTGCTATACCGACTGCGCTATCGTGGCTATAGAGAGTACTCTTGAGACTAACGACAGTCCGAGGGAACGCTCAGTCTTATCCTTAGCAAAGTGACCACAGTGCGAGGCCGAACAGACACCCATGGCGCGTCTCAGGACGACGGAAACGGTAGACGATCGCTTTGCCGTTCTTGTGAAAGCTCCCTACGGTCTCGTCATGAGAGAACAAAGGTTTGCTTTCGCTTTGCCGCCCTCTGCACTGTAGCAATATGGCAGGAAAGCGCGCGCCTCCCTGTACGTCTCAATCTGGTCGAGAGCTCGACGTCGTGACGAGACGGATCGGCTGGCCGTATAGAGCCTCCAACTAATACTAAAGTTAAGAACGAACGAGCTTTATCTCCGCTTCTCAATTCGTCTTTAGTGGTACGACCAAAAATCCCGATCGACTTTTCCTTGGTCTTCTTCAGTCTTCCCAGGGAAATTCTACCTAATTCCACATCCTGTTTACATCGTCAGACTGTGCTTGATAATTCAGCTCCTTCTGAAGTTGCATTATAATTCCGTGACGGAAAGATAGACAAATGGCCGCCATCCCTGCCACAGAGCTCAGTTGAAGAGTCTGCCCCCGGGGACAGGAGTAAAGTCAGACCTTGACGGGCCGTCGTGTGAGTCTATTAATAAGGCAGACAGCTGTGGCGTCGTAAGTTTCTGCACGTACTCATTAAGTAACCATAACTTAGCCCATTATCTCCGTCTTCATAAAAATAGCCCTATAAACGGCGTTTAATACCTTTTAAACGTGACTAAAACAAATTACATATACACGAATTCTATTTCACGAATCATGCAAACAGATAAGAAAATATCCCATGCGTACTAGCATAACGGCAACGCTTCAGACTCGTATATGCGAGATTCTCGATTTGAATCTTGGCAAGGAAAACGGATTTTCTGACTGAAGGTTTTCGAGGAGTTCTTCACTGCTTACAGGGAAATGTCAGGTATTATCACCTCAACTGGACTACAGTCGCTTCGTTCCACGGCCTTCCTTTCTCATTATTAATCGTTCGTCCGAGCCTGGGTACTGACAGCGGCCTCATATAATGACCCAAAAATAAATAATAAAAAGACTAACGATGCCTCACTACATGACATGATTCCATCATGATTAGCTTTTTTGTATTGCAAGTGGAGTGGGACTGTCCCTTGTACTGCGGCCACTTCTGGCCTATTGTACCTGCCCCAGATGATAGGTGAGGGTGATTGTGGAGCAATTGGTGGAATGAAGATTGGCAGGGGAAACCGAAGTACTCGGAGAAAACCTTCCCCAGCGCCACTTTGTCCACCACAAATCCCACTTGACCAGACTCGGTCTCAAACCCGGGCCCCCGCGGTGGGAAGCCAGCGACTAACCGCTTGAGCTATGGCGCGGCCGCTCATGATTAGCTAACAGCCACTAGTTCGCCAATTTTTCAGTCTCAAGATTTACTGTAGTCTTAATAAAAGCCCGACACTGTACCAAATCCTGAGTCACTTGAAGTCAGTCTTACTCCATCAAGACTCTTTTTAGCTCAGTAGCCCTGTTGGGTAGAAACATTCCATGAATACCCTCTGCGAGCATACTGCAGGTGGCGCATGTACGCAGTAGACACTGTAATTTGAAGGGTAAATGTAGTCTGTCTAAAACATCTTTGAGGATGGCACATTATCAGGGAGAGATTTCAGTGTTCAGGTGATCATTAGGAACTTAAGTCGCATAGTGGGGGGGGGGGGGTCCNAGTCCAGCTGGGTCACTCGGCACGTCGGCCACTTATTGGCCTATTGCACCTGCCCCAGGTGATTATGATGATGGGGAATTTGGTGAAATTAAGATTGGCAGGGAAAACCGAAGTACTCGGAGAAAGCCTGCCCCAGCGCCACTTTGTCCACCACAAATCCCGCTTGACCAGACCCGGTCTCAAACCCGGGCCCCCGCGGTGGGAAGCCAGCGACTAACCGTCTGGGCTATGGCGCGGCCATCATTAGGAAGTTACCAGATTCTACTTTCAACATACGAACGTGAATCACCATACTGGGGCTCTCGTTCCACACACAGGGACTTTTCTTTCGTAAGGTTGCCTACTCAAGATATGACGTAAAATCAAAGCTGTTTTAGGCAAGGTGTTCCATCTCGCTCTCCGGAGGTTTGGGAGGACGTCAGACGTAGCCACGTGGTGGTTTTGCTAGGCAACGGTTCCGTGGACATGTTTCCGTGGCGGCGAATGCAAGCAATAACAGAAGAATTGTTGAACGCATCGTTTTCTATACAATCCGTGTCTTATCAAAAGAAAATCTGTGGGTTTGTCTGTGAATTCCCTTATCGTCGCTAGGCAACGGTTCGGTAAACAATTTCCTGCGGCTTCGAATAATTCTTGGAAACGTCGTTTTCTATGCGGTACGTGTCGTGTTAAAGGAAAATAGGCGATTATTTCTTCCCAGAATTCCTGTCAACTCTCAACAAAACAGTGGAATTAAAAAAAATGTTGTAGGCCTAGGTGTTCGAGAATCAGTGACAGGTGAAGCGATCGATCAGCTATCGTGTCGCGTCTGGAATCATGTAACCAGTTGACAAGAGGAGTTCAGTATGACAGCGTACACCCCACTCCCTCTACATAAAATGAGGGTCTCTAAATATTTTACTATGCTATAACTAGAACAGACACATATCTGCTATCCTAGAATGAATGCAAGGAAGCCTCACAGTGTACAATGAACACCGGAAACACAAAACTTATTTTGGGCATATGAAAACTTCTAGGTAACAACTGCGGCATTCTAAGGTGTTAAATCGAGAATTCGAATCGAATTGTTTTCTGTTAGAAGGAAGAAAGAAAGCAGAAGAATGCAGACTTCTGGCGGTTCCGTAGAGGCTGAACGAGAAGTGAAGCCATGGGAGTCTATGAGGCTGTGTGTGGCAATTCTGAAAATAGGAGGATTATGGCATACAAGAGATATGACTCACAGAGGTGCCATTTTGTATAATGTGCTGAAAACATTTGTATTATTAGTGTTTTCTTCAATCGCACTATCAGTTTACGTGTACTTGTTTGTTGAATGGGGAAGTTTCATTGATATGCTAGAAACCTACGCATACTCTATTTCATGTACAGTATATTTTTTTAAATTCTACGTAATCCTCTTCAGAAATGCCGAAGTTCAGCACATCACGAACACAGTACAAGAGAACTTTGTCATCCATGGCAAAGAGTTAAGCACAGAGAATAGAACTATTATCAGAAATACAATGAAGTTTGCAAGGAAGATAACCATCGCTTATGGAACTATGAACATAGCTTCGTTGACAATATACACTATTCTGGGTCCATTGATTTCTGCCAGTGTTCCGTTTCAGACTCAAAATGAAGCAAACAATAGCTCTGAAATTCATGTTTCTAACCGGAAGTTGCCTTTTGAGATATGGTTTCCGGTGGACGTAACACAATCTCCGCGGTTTGAGATTGCATACATGTATCTGTCGACAGCAACAGTCGTTAACATGTGGAATATTGTGGGGATTGAAGCGTTTCTTATGACTACTTTTATCTATCTCACAGGTCAATTTGAACTGCTGTGTGACTCAATTAGGAACGCCTCACAAAGAGTGACATACAGACTAAATCAAAGACAACTTGCTTCAGCTGGCGGTGATGATATCAATGAACTACACGATTTTATGTCGGATAAGGAGAAAAAAAATCGGTATTCGAATGGAAATACCGAGTCAAGCATCATTCCTGCAATGGGTAAAGTAAATATTACTTAGATCATAATTTCTTAAAATGTGCGTCGTGATCCATTAGGGGGCCGTGACGTACCTTAAAAAGGTCCGCCAAATTCAAAAAATTATTTAAAATATAACTGTAATTACGTGCATTTAAAAAACCGGTAAGATTTAAGGCGGGTGCTTTCGGAAAATGTGGCTGCAGCTGGCGAAATATTTCGAGAATTTTCAGTGACTATACAGGAACATTTCACAGCTTACTGCAGGAGATGAGGGGCTCTAGAGCTATTTAGATCCCTCCGGTTACGGTACAGCATAGCTGGGACCTGCAAAATTGTGCACAGCTGCGCTTTTGTTGATCGGCTGATCATCGGAAGGAGAGGCGTTGCCCGGTAGCACAGAGTTCGAGAACGCCGAACTTAGGGGCAGTCACGACCTCACAAAATTTTCCTCCAATATATGGATTTCTATTGACTTTTCTAAGACTGTTCCTTGCAGAAAGATATGTAAATAAATTCTGTCCCAGCTGCTGGCCAACCTTTGGAATCTTTTGTTTCTATGAAAGAGGCTTTTAAAAATTCAGTTTTTGGGGGGCTTTTAAATATTATAAAATTTAATACACGTAATTTAAAATACGATATCAAGATCTCTATACAGTTTTACATGAACAGCAGAATAAAAGTGAGACTTATTAATGTTTAACATAAAAACCCTGATATAATGCAGGAAAATTTAAAGTTGCAGAAAAGTGAGTTCAAATTGTAACTACAGTTTTAATAAGATTTTTGCCACTTACCCATTACAGCTCTCTGGAACCGTAAGTCTTCTTTTCGGTATTCTCATTGGCTTCCTCCCCTGGTATTTTTATACTGTGGAGAAGTCTTCGTCTCTTGTCCAGCTTGAAGCTATGCCTGACACTTCATAATTCACCACTGAGTTCTCCATCCACGTTCAAGTTCCCTCAGTAGAGGCACCAGAACTTTCATGAGTTCAGTACGTAAACAGCCACAGTTATTGACATAAATATTTTCATTCCAGAAATTTAATTGCTTTTAGGGAAGTTAGTGATGGCTTGATTATAGAAGCACCATTTCATTTCTCCACTTGGACAATGTGAAAATTCTTATCAGGATTCATACAGTGACATAGCGTTGCACAGATGGAGACTTCATCTTCCGTATGTCTATGCATTTTGTAGAACTGTTTCTCTGTTATTACAAACAAGTTTTACTGCTGTGGATTCTTTCAAATTTACAATGTTTTCTTCCTTCAAAATATCACATATTCCATGTAGGATCTGAGGTTCTCACAGGGATTGTTGTCATATAATATCGTGCGGGCCAGTGAACGAAGACAACCGACGTTTCGGAGGAACATCTCACTTCCACCTTCAGGGTTGAAGAATATACCAAGCGAGAAACCAGCATGAAGCAGGCACAAAGAAAATTGATTCGCCTGCTTTTCGACTTCTTTAAAATTTGTAACTATGCTTACACCTCGGATATGCAATTGGCGAAAACGTCATGGATAGTGGCAATAAGTTTACAATTTATATATATAAATGTGCTGACTGTATAGGAAGATCTTTGAGACACCATCAGCATCTGAGAGATGTCAGTTTCTATACATGATGTGTTGGTGGCCTGTATTTTCATGGCGACACTCATTACTCTCACACTCTGCCAAGAGACCTTCATACTAACATTAAAATTAACGCGCCAATGCTCAAGCGGTTAGTCGCTGGCTTCCCACCGCGGCGGCCCGGGTTCGATCCTGGGTCTGGTCAAGAGGGATTTGTGTTGGACAAAGTGGCGCTGGGCAAGTTTTCTCCGAGTACTTCGGTTTCCCCTGCCAATCTTCATTCCACTAATTGCTCCACAATCTCCTTCATCTATCATCTGGGACTGGTACAATAGGCCAGAAGTGGGCGCAGTACAAGGGACTTAGTTCCACCCCACTAACAATAAAAAAAAATAAAAAAAACGTTGAAAATATGTGCTTTCACTCCCAAAATGTTTCTGCAGATAGATACAAGAAAAAGCATTTGAAGTTGCCGGAATATCTGCTATATCGTTATGTAAAATGTGTCCTACAGTATGCACAGATCTTGGGAAATATTTACAACTGTATCCACCAGGCATGATATAAGATAGACCACTTACGACCACACGCTCACATAAATATTATCTGTGGAACTTAAATACCACACTCCTATACACGTGTACACTGTTATTTAAAAAGAACTGCAGGATAATCAAATGCACTAACATAACCTCGCCACGTCTTATTCATTTGAATACCACATGGCCAAACAAAACTTTCAAATGTTTTCAGTTCACCATCGGTACACAGATGGCACTGCCACTGTGAGCTGCAGTGCTGCCAATCACTAAAGGTAAATGGTCAATCAGGTTTTGGGGAGGATGGAATAAATTTACATATTTCTTATGAGTCACGCAGGGCCGTGCCATAGCTCAAACGGTTAGTCGCTAGCTTCCCACCGCGGCGGCCCTGGTTCGATCCTCGGTCTGGTCAAGTGGGATTTGTGGTGAACAAAGTGGCGATGGGGCAGATTTTCTCAGAGTACTTCGGTTTCCCCTGCCAATCTTCATTCCACCAATTGCTCCACAATCACCCTTACCTATCATCTGGGGCTGGTACAATAGGCCAGAAGTGGCCGCAGTACACAAGGGACTTAGTCCCACCCCACTAGCAATAAAAGAAATTATGAGTCACGCACCTTAAGAAAACAGCAGACATCCCGGTAAAAATAAAAATTGAAACTACTTCGCATGACAATTTTTAAGTTCCTTATATTTCCGGAATAACTCGTTTTAATGTTCACACTTCACTATCCTTGGTAGTCGGGCCACGCGGTAGCATAGTTGCTTGAGGCACTACGCTACAAGCCGGAAGGTCGCGGGTTCCATTCGCGATGACGTCATTGGATATTTTTCAATTGACATAATCCTTCCTGCCGCACTATGGCCCTGGAGTGGGCTCAGCCTCTAACTGAAATGAGTACCAGGAATATCCTTGGTGGTAAAGGGCGGCTGGCGCGTAGGGCTGAAAACCTTGCCGCCATTTATGAGCCGATTGTCTAGAAAATGTGGGAACNGCAAGCCGGAAGGTCGCGGGTTCCAGTCGCGATGAGGTCATTGGACATTTTTCAAGTGACCTAATTCTTCCTGCCGCACTATGGTCCTGGAGTCGGCTCAGCCTCTAACTGAAATGAGTACCATGAATGTTCTTGGGGGTAAAGGGCGGCTGGCGCGTAGGGCTGACAACCTTACCGCCATCTTTGAGCCGGTTGTCTAGAAAATTTGGGAACCTCAGCATCTCACAACCCTATGGGCCTTCACGACCTGGTAGAGGGATAGCTTTACTTTAGTCAGTAATGCCATTATTCTCAAGATGATTTATCCAGAAGTTTACAACTTGGACCAGAAGACCTTTTGAGGGCCTTTATCCTGCTGACCCTCGCCCACGATAGAATGTACAGATGTAACGATAAATACAAAATGACAATTATTTCCCTTCAGATTTTTGTAAACCTATTTTAAACGGGAATCTAAACGCTATAAGTTATTCACCTCTCGGATAACACCTTTTGTAAAACAACCCGTGGGTAGCTGCATGCTGAGGTCCTGCACATCGCCTAAGCCCCAAAAGTACAGTAGTTTCATAAATTAAGTTCTGCGATCCTCACGTACAACTGGCAGTCCATGACAAAAGTAAAAAAATTAAAAATTGAAAGAAGCAGTGTTCCATATTGAAAAATAAATGCGTTTTCCTACTGGTAAACGCCGAGAAAGTCAATTCAGAATAGCGTTTCCTTCCTTAATTTTAAAGTTAAAATGGAAAAAAAAATAGTTTTGCAGTTTATAGTGTCTTTCAGTATTCAGAAACACAAAAGCCAGGTTATACCCCTTCCGAGAATTTACATTTTAGTTTTCGTTTGGAGAGAATTATATTTTAAAGAAATAAGGATTAAGGGTGTTGACAGGGGTCATCTGGTTCAGGACAGGGGATTATTGGCAGGCTCTTGTGAATAAGGTAATGAACCTTCGGTTTAGGCAAAAGTGAGGGTTTTCTTGAGTAACTATGTGATTATTGCCTTCTCAGTTACTCTCATCAAAGATCGCAACTGAGCGGGCAGTACTCCTGCTTCGTACTCGAGAGGTTCGTCTTTCGAATCTTGGTCCAGAGGCTAATTATCCCTACGTGTTTTTCCTTGGTCCCTCCAGGAAATTACGGAAATGCAGCATGGAATTACGTCACTATCGCTTCTTTCTGAGTCCTTTCCAGTTCATTATTCACCAATCATCCGACGATAGACACATTGGCCTGAGCTATTTACACTGACGTTTAATAAATCTAAAAATTTCTCTAGTCTATTGAGTATGAAGATATGAACTCTGCGAAAGAGCACTCCTCTTTGAGAACCAGAAGGAATTCGCAATTGTAAAGTATAGAATCTGCTCCGCAATGAGCTGAAAGGCTACTTCTGCCTATTAATCTAACAGGCGAAAACGCGCATCCTTTCAAGTCGGATTCTGCAACGTCCGCAGAAGACGGAAACCTGGCCAACTTATCTCGACGTCCGTCAAGGCAACAGGAGAGCATGATGGTCGAATTTCGAATTAAGTACGGATCTTCTGCTGATGAAACTCGCAGCCTCAGCAATCCTTGTACGACTTCGGATCATCAGCTGGAGATGGAGCAGTATCTTATGGAATGCATCAAGTATCACCAGAGACTCATAGAGTGAGTCGAGTGAGTGACATGTAAAGTGTAATGAAAGATCTGTACTGCACTAAATTTTCAGATTTTAATAATATACTTTTTTCCAGGTTTTCCGAGAACTTAAATCTACTATGGCAAACAGTTTTATTTGTGCAATTTGTAACAGGGTCCCTGTTGATTTGCCTCATTGGACTTCAAGCAATATCCGTAAGTGCATAACTGTCACGAACAGAAAGGCTCTTTTTTTTTATTGCTAGTGGGGTGGGACTAAGTCCCTTGCACTGCGGCCACTTCTGGCCTATTGTACCAGCCCCAGATGATAGGTGAGGGTGATTGTGGAGCAATTGGTGGAATGAAGATTGGCAGGGGAAACCGAAGTACTCGGAGAAAACCTGCTCCAGCGCCACATTATCCATCACAAATCCCACTTCACCAGACCCCGGGATCGAACCCGGACCTCCGTGGTGGGAAGCCAGCGACTAACCGCTTGAGCTATGGCGCGGCCTCAATAGAAAGGCTTAGTGGCAGGCATAATTTATATTTTTTTGCATAAACGTAATCATCTTATACATATATATTGAAGATCGCATATCATGAGACTTGCATTAACTCGTAAAACTTAATCTGACAGGTTATCTAATGACTAAAGCCTCAGATTTGTCTTTCATAAAAATGTGAATAATCTCTTTTACAACAAATTCAGGATCCTTGTCCCATAGGAAACAATCGTTATGAAATTCTTCATCAAAATCATTGATTTATTTCAAGAGCTAAAGCTAAGACTTAAACCCCAAAGAGTATAGGTTCTGTTAAGAGTGGACCCTCATACTAAGAGGCTTAAGTTCTTTTATTACTCGTGGGTTAATGTCCAGCCCTGGTTTAGATATATGTCCTCTTTCCGTTCTTATTCTTTATTCTGTAGGCAGAAGTTGTATGAAAACCGATCCCCTTCCTAAGTAATCCTACTGAAAATGTAGAACGGTTCCAGTTTCAGAATTAATACCGAATTGGAAAATGAAATGGAGCGTCAATAGTGGTTGCTCGAAAAGCGAAGATTTATATTCAGAAACACTGTCGCATGAAGGATTCTTCCAGTGGGGATCAGCCAGAAAATTTCCTAACAACTTGAAGGGTTAAGCAATGTACGATTATTCTTATGGATTTGTATTCGGAATAGAGGAATATTCCTTTTTAAGTAATTTCAATTTTGGTGCTAATATTTGGTATGTTTAACTTCCTTTCTTCTTCCTGAAATTCTGACTTTTCAAAAATCTTGTGGGAGAAGAAGTCCCTAACTAGTAACGCTGCCTAACGTCACTTATATCGATAAGGTTAACAGAAAGGGAAAGAGTATATACGAAAGAACAAGAGTAAGATTATCAGGGTGTTCTCGTGATTTAAAATTGTCCAGTAATTTTCCACACCCTTAAATGGTGTTGGGGAGGGTTCTCGTGTCAGCAGAAGTCGGCTTAAGACTTCACTTCCATTTCGTCACAAACGGATGCCGAAGAAATGTACACTTTCAACAGCATTAGAGTATTTTAACTGGTGTAGCGACAGCTCACCTCAGTTCATAAACCAAGAAATCACATGTAAACTTGTCCGTACTGTTCACAGCTAAAAATATCCCTTACACATAGGTCTTCTTTTGCAAAATTTCGTATCCGTGAGAAGTCAGTCTCAATAATGATTAGAGTGTAGGTCTGATTGTGTTGTACTGCACTGCCCCAGCCTTTCAGTCATATACTTCTTCCCCTTCCTTCAGCTGCCAATGAACTGAGCCTTCTGTTCTGTCTCTATTCTGAGTTTATCCTGAAAATATTAATCCCTTAGACCTGTGGTTGGATTTCCTGGCCTGGGGAAGAAGGGTATCTGACTTCTCATTCCCTGCCACACGCTAAACTAAGTACTTGGGCAATCCGTACATCAAACACAGAGTTTTCTCATGGGTCTTCTTGTCCTCAGATGCCCCTCGACGGGGACTTTGCGAAGATGATGGGATACTTAACATCTGTGGTTTTTCTGTTGGGTCTGTACTGCACATTGGGGTCGAATTTAATGACTCAGGTAAGTATGATGTGGCATAAAGGTTTAGGGACTTCTGCGATCTGGCGGCGTGTGGTGTGCTACCTGTCTCCCAAGTGGCACGCTGTTCCGTTCCAGAAGAATATAGTTTTAATATTTACCGCCGTGAGCTCCTTAAATCCCAGGAAACGGCAGTATAAATGTTCCAGCTTCGTTGACTATATATACTACATATATTTATTCCCTAATAACATAAATGTTTACGCCTGTATTCATGTATCTGAGGACGTGAAGGTGGCACATGAGTGGCGAAACACGCCGCGCAACTCACAGAAACTGTTGAGAGAATGCATGTTGTGTGATGCAATTCTTTAATATATATTTCTGTTCACAATTAAAGTACAGATAATTCTTTCTGAATCAGAGCGAGGCGGTATTCAACGCGGTGTACGAGAGCGACTGGTACAACCAGTCTGGACGATACAAGTACTTCACCAGGATGCTCATCATGAGGGCCCAGAGGCCGGTGAGACTCACCGCGGGCAGGTTCGGGACCCTCTCTCTGCCTCTCTTTTCTTCGGTGAGTGCAACACATACGCATTGCTCACAGAACATTATCCTTGCAGCACCGTTAGCCCTTTAATATCGCACGGAGTTGTTTGACTGGCCACTGTGCACCGAGGGGGCATCTACATGTTATCAGCCTTGTCGTGTGCATGAGAAGGAATTTTACTTTGTCAACTTCCTGCGTTGCTAGACACAGAACGGAGATCTTCGGACCGGAATGTTTACAGGAGATAGACTTCAGGGTCGTTCTGTATCTAGGATTGGCGTCACGGCTCTTTGAATGGTCTAAACAAGATCAGGGGTGCACAGTGGACTCTGATCGGGTCTGTATCAGAAAATGAGCTAGCACACATCAGTCTTGGCATGGGCCTATGTGTGTTGCAGATGCTGCGCTCTTCGTACTCGTACCTGGCGCTCCTGCGACAGATGCATGAAGATTAGCGACAGCCGCTCTGCTGTGCAGTCAACTCAAGTGACAGATAATATTCATCATAGAACTTAATTGCACTACACTCACGCGGTATGTAGTTGGTTGAGGCACTACGCTACAAGACGGAAGGTCGCAGGTTCAAGTCCCGATGTTATCACTGGATTTTTTTTAATTCACCTAACCCTTCCAGCCGCACTACAGCCCTGGGGTAGACTCAGAATCTAACAGAAATGAGTACCAGGAATATTCCTGGAATATTCGTGGGAGTAAAGGGTGGCCGACGCGTAAAACTGACAACCTTACCGCCATCTATGAGCCGATTGTCTAGAAAATGTGGGAGCCTCAGCGTCTCACATCTCTATGGGCCTCCACGGCCTGTTACAGGGACAGCTTTACTTACTTTTACAGTCGCGAGTGCTAAAATAAGCGTGCAATATCTGAACGCGTGAGCGCCACTAGTGTCACAAACAAAGCCCGAGAGTGAGAGACAAATATGCGCTTGCGCATAACACAAATTGTGCTGTTACGTATGAGAATATTAAGGAAGCGAAGACGGTCCTGACACAGTTTATATTATCAGATTTTCTGTGACTAGTCTACTCATAGTTATTGCCTTGCTCAGTGTTTTGTTTCAGCTGGAAAATTCCGATGCGCATAAAAGTAATCAGTTGAGGTGTACAGGAAGTCGCATATCTGTCCATACAGAGTATGATACGACCTTGGCGATAAAATGGAGGATGAGTGTAGAGGAAAATAGGTTGTTTCGATAAAGCACTGGTTTTACTAATGTTTCATTGTGTATAGGTCTGCGCCTTTAAGTTATTATCTTGTGACGAATGAACTGTAGCTCCCAAACTGAAAATTGTCTCTTCAGGAATACAGGCACCATCAGAATGTTTGGGGGGGGGAGAGAAATTTTACTTATAAAATAATTTTCCATGCCATCAAGACATTTTTACTGATCACCTTAGAATATTTAGGAGGGAAGATTGGTTTTTTAAAATACTTCCAATTTCTGCATTAGTATTTTTAATATTTATTTTTTTACTATTGTGTCTTTTCTAAAAACCCAGATCGCAAGACGCCTGTCCAACTCCCCCCCCCCCACCAAGGCCGACTCAACGTGCTGAGAATAGTAACTTCCTCTTCTACATTTCTTCTACGATTGCACTACGCGTTACCAGTCCCAGAATTGCCAAATAGGTCACTATCTATCTATCTATCTTTCTATATATCTATGGGTATACAGTTCTTTTATGGACCTTGGCCGCTTTTTCAAGTTCATAAACTTTTTACACTTTCGGTAGGATTCCTTGGAAGGGGATCAGCCCTTCGCAAGGCTGCTACCTACACACGGAATAAACGCGGGCACAGACAGCCATGCCTTCAGTGGCATTCGAACCCACGATTCCAGTGTTCGAGCGGGAGAAGACGGTTCTTGCCTAAGACCGCGAGCCCACTGTGATCAGATAACTAGGCCACTACACTCTCCTTTTTTTCTTTTGTAATGAAATATTCTGTTTCTGTGAGACGGCGCACACACTTCTTCAACCGTGGAATATTTTAAACTAAATTTTTTATCTTACATTATTTTAGTCCGAATATATATAAATGAGAAACTATTCGAGAGACCCGGTAGACAAGGGTGCTAATTTTGAAACGGAGCTTCAATAAATGCAATGTGAGGGTACAGACTGGATTCAAGATATGATCCAGTGGTGCGCTCTAGGAAACAGAGACATGAACCTTCGGATCCTATAGAAGGCGAGTACTTTCTTGTTTGACTGATCAACAGTTGACTTCTCAGGGAGAATTATGCCCCATTGATTTGGTTTTTTAGTTATTTAATTTGTTATAGGAACTCATCTGTTTCTAAAAATAAAATTTGGCTAAATGTACGACATTCTGTAACAAGTATCTTGAAAGCTGTAAATATATTAGACCAATTACTAAAAATAATAAAATAATAAATAATATGAAACGGACTACTATAAATGCAATTTCAGGCACACAATCGTGAAGCAGAAAGAAAAAGGGACTATAGCAAATCACCTATCCCGTTCTTCCCCAAACTCATCGATCTTTACGCTCAAAAACGCTGCCCTGTTTGTTGTCACTCTAGGATTACATCTAAGTAGCATGTCCTGTGAATTTTCACATGCAATACAAATTGTCATTGTAAGCGCATCGATAAAAATCAAATAATTTATCAGTACCGGATGAAAGTGATATATTAATAATATTAAAAATACTTCGTTGTTGCATATAGAATAATTAACACCGTTATGTCCCTTGTTAATATTCAGTTTAATCTATTCTTTCGTGTTAGCTGTCCTAACCATGTAAATTACCGTACATAGATTATATAAAATATTTTCTTTATCGCTGGCTCCACGGTTTGGTTTAATTCTCAAGTAATATTTTCTCTATGTTTTCCTCAGTTCTCGCTGAATTTCTTCTCTTGTTTTGCCTTTAGTTTCCGGAACTACACATGCCACAACTACAGTTCCCAAACCACACACTCCACCAAATATCGCAAACTTTATCATTTGTCCCAAGTTCCCAGTCGTAAGCCCAGATAAATTCGTAATTGCAAATACCACAATCCAATATACGGACACTACAAGACCATTCGCCCAGCTTTTGGACTCGTTTGGCACAAGCTCTGCCATTATGACCCACGGCAATGGTCCAAATCCAAGGCTGAAGACGCAGATGTAGGTGGTAACACAGAGGAGTGGTAACCAACCAAAGGCTCTCACATCGACGTCAGTTTGCTTTAAATAAAAGTACACGGCCAACACAACGTGACACACCGCCATGGTTACATCTGAAAAGAGAAGCAGCGGGCGTCGCCCAATTCGTTCCACAAGCAAGGAAGACACGAACGTCGCCACTACCTGGGCCACTCCGACAACGACAGTAGACAAAGACGGCGACAGCGTGCTTCCAGCTTCCTCGAATATGTCGACGGTATAGTAAATGACAACATTGATTCCACTAGACTGTCTGAAAATCATTAAACAAACCAATATTATTATAGCTTTGCCAGTAGGAGATTTAGGCAATTTGCATAAACGTTTTGGAATATCTCTCGCAGTTGTCATGCAGTTTGTTATTATTTGTGTATCCTCCGATGCTGTCTTTTGTGATGGCGATTTTCGCGAAGTTTCAGAAACGAATTTCTGAATACGATCCAATTCGTATTTCACGTCATAGTCCGTTATGCATCTCGCACCGCGCAACCAACGCAGAGATCTCTCGGCTTCCTCAGCCTTGCCTTTGCTGGCGAGATAAATGGGAGAATCTGGCATCCAGGCGAACGTCAGCAGAAAGACTGCGGGTATTGTGGCGCACGCGATGCACAGCCAGAGATACGAGACGTACGCGCCAACAAGATAAACAAAAAGAATGCCGTTGCCAATTTGGAGGTCAAACAGTATCCCGAGGGCTCCCCTTATTCTCACTTCAGCAATCTCTTCACAGTAAATTGGCACGATGACTGACCCTGCGCCCATGGCAATGCCGGAGAAGAAGCGTGCAATGAATATCAATAGCACCTGCAATACAAAGTAATTATTTTAGTTTACCTGCAGTTGTTGGCCTATATTCTGTTTTAGAACTTCTACAGGGCTATATTAGAAGAGCGGGGGTAGCTCAGTCGGTATAGCGACTGGCTACGGGCTGGACGATTGAGAGGTCGGGGCTCGAGTCCCGGTAAGGGAAACAATTTTTTTACTGGTCCGTGTCATCCAGACCGGTTCTGGGGTCTACCCAGCCTCATATTCAATGGGTACCAGGGACTCTTTCCCCGGGGATAAAGAGGCCGGAACATGAAGCTGACCACCCACCTCCAGCTAGTGCCGAGGGCAAGAAAATATGGCTCTATGCATACACTCCCACATACGTACTTAATTAGTTAAGCACAGAGACAACTTTACCTTTTACAGGGCTATTAGTTGATGTGATTTGGGAATGACTGTTTCTGTGGAGTAGCCAGAATAGGGAAGGTTTCGACTGAGTGATGACAAGAACAGAAATCTCAACGGCCCCGGTCCAGTCTTGGCAGCCGGTCTGTGTCTCATACAGTTAACTACGCGCCCAGTTAGTCCCTCCTAGTGGAATCTGAGATTCTAACGTCGCTAGCGCGTAAATCCGGCAATGCTGTCGATGATGGAGTTCCGTACTAAAATTCAGTAATGGAGCTATTTATTAACAATAACTTTACGAAAGAAGCCAGGATGGCTCAGTCGGTAAGTGACAGGATCCAAGCTGGACTGTCGATGAATAAGAGTTTGATTCCCGGCAGGAACAAGTGATTATTCTGTTTTCCACAACATCCAGACCGGCTCTGGGGCCCACTCTTCCGTGTATCCTGTGAGTATCGGGGGATCTTCCCCAGGGGCAAAGGAGCAGGTGCGCGTCAATCTGGCCAATGCTCTCCCTCTAATGTCCTTAGGTTGAGAATGCGGAGAGCTGGACCTCCATTCCCCATACGTCTACATGGCGGCGTGTTTAATTAATTAATTAAACACAAGAAGAACTTTACTTTTACCTTATTAATACAAAATTCTAAACCAAAATAGCGAAGTATAAAATAAATTCTTGTTCATGCGAAAAGAAAAGGCAGCTGCCATTGTAGTAATATTACTCCTGCCGGAGAGTGAAATTTATTTTCTATGGGTTGGGGGAATTTTAGAGGCTGTCAGAAGTTTGACTGACTACACAGCGGCGGCTAGTAGGATAACAGACAACCAGTGATCTGAAGGGATATATAAAGAAGTGATCCTGGCATTTGCTTGGAGAGGCTGAGGATGAACACGATGCCGGAAACGTTCTTCCTATTAGTACTCCTACATTTCTCTCACTGACCCGATTCTTGCGGTATGATCCATTTCTTTCTCACTCCCTTAAATAGGAGAATTTCTCTGATTCACTTATCATTCTGGAATCGACTGCAAACGTCCAGGCTGTTACAGCCTAGGAAGCGATTTCTGTTCAAGTATATTTCTACCACTACATAAGGCCTATTTGTCTGCACGAAACATTGTCAAGGTCACTCACCGACTTCCCTGCGACAATGATCAGAAACCAGCCCAAGAGATAAATTGCAGCGAGGATCAACAGCAGTTTCTTGCGTCCGATCATACTGGCTATGTATCCAGCTGAGAGGGCGCCCACCAGGGCACCCAGAGGCGCCAAGGAAGCGATCCAGGACGCCTCTGCCGCCGTCACTGCTTCGGTTGCTTTCCCGTTCTTAGCAGGAAACATGCCAACACTGCTGATGTTTCCCAGTACCGAAGAGGAATTTCCGAAGACGGTGTCCTTGTATGCGCCAGTCATGTTAACGACATGAGGTAACTTCTGCAGGTAGGGTAAGGCGTGGGCGGTCCACCCCATGACGCAGCCGGCGCAGAAGGAGCCCAAGTTTGCTACAAGGAGAGAGAAGTACGTATGCTGTCACCCAGAACACGACGCTGTAATGGTAGCGTGCTTGGAGATTTGGAAGGAAAAGTCGTGGTCTACTCGAGGTACTACCGTGGCACTTGCCTAGAAGTACTGAGGCATACCTCAGGCATGCCTTGGAGTCCTGATGCAGAACACGACGGAAATGAGAACCGTTCCGCTTAGCCTTACAAGGAAAAGTGTGCTTGTGCTTTACAGTTTCCGGCTCTGTGAGGCAGCCTAGGTACAGGTAACAGGGAAATCGTGACAATGTGAAATAAGTTGATATGATTTTGTCCAAGTCTGTAATGATAAGAAAGATCCATTTTCTTCATGGAAGTCTACAGGAGGGGCAAAAAATTCATGCCTCCCTCCCCACATGAAGGCTTATAATAAAATAATAAAAGCTGAAAGAACAAAAAGTGTCAATTGGTAATGTAAAAAACTGCAACGGTCTCTATTTGTGGCACTACCTACATCTCGATATAATGACTCACATCCCTTCAGCGATCCATAAAAACATTCTTAAGCTGCTTGAACTTAAGTATGCAAGCAAAGTTTATGCTTGCCCCCTCAAAATGGATGTAACAAATTAAATAAACATCTTTTAAGTGCTTTTAAAAGCACACTTTAATGTGTTATCGAGAAAATTGCATCGTATTTTGAAGTAAAATTGTATTTTCAAAGGAAAAAACAAACGGATCAAGATCGCAGATTTTTTTAACGTGATGTCGCGTACTTTCGAAAGTAGGTACCACCTCCTCTTTCAAGATAAAATAATGAACCTCAAATCTGGTAAAGAAAGTGTTTAAAACGGAATTTCGATTAGTTCTTATTAAAAATCTCCTATGTTTTGATATTTCTGTCTTCTGAAAAGTGTCAGAGCAGTATCCTGGCACACAATACAGCACGAGGGCGCAGTCNGTCGAGAAAATGGCATCGCATTTTGAAGTAAAATTCTATTTTCAAAGGAAAAAACAAATGGATCAAGATCGCAGATTTCTTGAACGTGATGTCGCGTACTTTCGAAAGTAGGTACCACCTCCTCTTTCAAGATAAAATAATGAACCTCAAATCTGGTAAAGAAAGTGTTTAAAACGGAATTTCGATTAGTTCTTATTAAAAATCTCCTATGTTTTGATATTTCTGTCTTCTGAAAAGTGTCAGAGCAGTATCCTGGCACACAATACAGCACGAGGGTGCAGTCCTATATAGTCTTGGCTCCACTAGGGCCCTTCTCTGCATTAACAGAAACCAGCCAAACATAAACCGGATAGCCCTTCCTAGAGACTTATCTGCCCGGCAATCCAGCTACATAACGAAGTCTGGATTTCTGGTGACGTGCCTTAACGACTAAGCTCCAATTTTATTTCTCAGAGGAAGAGAATATAGAGAAAGGTGAGAGAAAAAGAATAATAACCAAGAAAGAAAAGTTATAGCTACATTCAATTGGTCCGCGATATATTTGGATACCGTCCGGGACGCGTGACATAAGACAGAGAATAAGTCACGTACCCAAACTAGCAGCCAAGTACTGCGGCCATCTTTTCCCCGGGCGAATTCCTCCATTCTTCTCCAGTCTCTTTCTATCTTTCTCATTCCTCAACGGACCCGGTTCTGAGTGTCCCACTGCTTCACCCGCATGAACGGGTGACTCCTGCACTGCAGATGCTGCTCCATCGGCGTGAACCGGTGACTCCTGCATTGCAGAAGCTGCTCCATCGGCGTGAACCGGTGACTCCTGCTTTGCAGAAGCTGCTCCACCCGCATAAACCGGTGACTTCTGCATTGCATTGAGGAGGAGAATCCGTACAGAGCCCTCGTACGAAAACCTGAAGGAAGACAACAAGGAAGAACCAGACGTAGATGACAATATTAAACTAGATGTTAGAGAAACTTGATGGTAAGTAAGTTCTGGGCTCGATTCTTCTGGCTCAGGAGAGGGACCAGTGGCAAGCACTTGTTAATACAGTAGTGAACCTTCTGGTTTCATATAACGCTGGGAATCTGACTGACCGTGCAACAGGCAGCTCCTCAAGAATAGTCTTCAATGTACAAGTGTTCTTTAGTATTTTGGATGTTACAAGGATTGAAGGCCTTATCCAAACCAGACACCGACAATATTTGAATACAGCGTAATCAATTACCAAGAATCTAAGGTCCCCAAGTACCACCAACAATTTCGAACACTATATGTAGAAATGTCCGTAAGTATATTAAGTCCTTTAGGCAAAGTAAAAGCCTGTGTACCTCAACTCAAACTTTCAGTAAGGAAGAAATTTAGTTAGGATCCTTGATACCAAACTTAACGATGAATTCCTCCATGGAAACTAATTTCTTCCTTAATTTTTGTCTACGTTAGTCAATTAAGTGTACTAAACCCATTTCACATTAAGTTCAATTCTTATTTCATTGAATTCCTTAAGGATAAATTCTCTATTAAAGAAAATAAGACTGTACGGTACATAACACAGCTGTAAATGAGATCTGAAATATCTACCACAGACAATCTTAAATATGATGATTGTGTAACAAAATAGAATAAAGCTCAAAACTGATATATAATTTGAATTTCAGTAACAGAATTTTGTCTGACGTAACTGACATTGAGAAGTGAGCGTCCAACGATCTTACCTGACACAAGACCAGCGCCAAACTGACGTCTGGGCGAGTTATGACATACTGCGCCACCACTGCCGACGTTCAGACATACCTTCCACCAGATTACATACGCTGTAATCATGCAAATACCGGTCTATGTAAACAATGGTCTGCCTACACAGCTGTCTGTTCAGGCAGTAGGCAGAAGTGCGGAAAACGCGAGCACCGCCTTAACGCACATTAATGGCCTTTTCCGACGGCCCCAGAACGTCCATAACTTGCAGTTGTGCCAAAACCGCGAGTCGTCCATACATCTATCGTGCCTTCACTTTTCAGCCCAGTTAGAAACAAGAAGTTCGGGGAAGAACTAATAGACTACTTTCCTTTTACTGCAATTTGAGTATCTGATAAATCGAGCGAAAAGAAAACTTTAGTATCTATGCGTAATGACGTCAACAAACCAATACAATTTGGGAGCCTACAATGTTGGTATTACTGATGGGAGAGACTTAACAATGTACTCCGTTGAGATGGCCTTAGGTGGCATGATATGCGTACCAAGTCTCGTGACGATGGGTTCAGGCATTCGAGTAATATCAAGGGTAAAACCTGAACAATTTGAGAGGTTATAGCGTTGGTAGTACTGATGAGAGAGATTTGTGATGTACATAACTGAGGAGCGTTCAGGTGGCATGACATGCATACCAAGCCTCATTAATACTGATACAAGCATTCGAGAAATATTAAGGCTTTGCTTCAGAAGTTTGAGAGGCTGTAATATTGGTATTACTGACGAGAGGGATTTATGAATTACGCCGTTGAGAAGGGCTCAGATACCTTGATATATATATATATACACCAAGTTTTATAACGATTGTTAAGGCCATTAAAAAGTTAATAGGAGGGATACACATTTAGACACACAGACTCACGATCATACACACGCCAGACAGCGAGATGATCTCATTAGCCTATCTTTATTTTTAAAAATAAGGAAAGTAGGCTAAAAACTGATGGGCGAGCACTCAAGGACGAAAGGATTCAGGGACGCACAACAGAGAACTGGAACACTTTCTGTTTCTGTAGTCGGAGCATGGCAAGGCCTTACTCCGTGATGTTAATGGTCCTTGTGATATGCAGCCGTGACCGAAACACATTTTTTTAGACACAAAGTCAATCATCGGGTAAATATGGGCCTGATCTAACATGGGCTTCAAAGGCACACTGTTCCTGACAAGTCTAACAAAGGCGTTTGTTTTGCGTCAGAAAGTCGGAGAGGTAATCAAGAACAGTCAGTATTTCTAGAACAGACCTCTGGGTTGCGCATGTAGAAATGTGGGGGCAGTAGCTGCACCTGCATTGTAGGAAGAAGGGTGACGCGCTGTATATAATGTATTTTCATAATCCACGCACACCCTATAGTCCTCATCTCGGTGCAAACAACCAGATCCACTAAGCGATCAGCTGAGAGCGTTCTCACAGGGAAGTGTTTACGAAGCTGTTGCCTAACAACGGTCGTATTTTCTGGTCCCATTATTCCGGATCTTTTAGGAGGATGCAGACACAGAGAGCAAGCTGATCCCATAAGCCTGCGTTTATTTTTAAATATAAATTAAGTAAGCTAAAAAGAACCCAAAAAGCGCAGTCGGTATAGCGACTGGCTACGGGCTGGACGACCAAGGGTGGGAGTTCGAATCCCGGGGGGTAAGAATTTTCATATCTCCATGTCGTCAAGACCGGTTCTGGGGCCCACCCAACCTCCTATCCAATGGGTACCGTGAGAATTCTCGCCGGGGGTAAAGTGGCCGGGACGTGAAGGTAACCATTCACCTCCAACTAGTACACAGGTCAAGAAAACGTGGGTCTATACAGCCACTCCCCAAAACGTCTTCATGGCATAATGTTTACTTAATTAAGTACAAGGACAACTTTACTTTTTTACATTTGTAGGCTAAAAGAACACTGAGGCGATATCCTAAGCTTCACTTCTGCCCAGAACATTTCAACAAACTCGATGAAGTAACAAGTAAAAGGAAAGTTCGACAATAATTCAATGCTAGTTTCGACACAACTTGACGATCTAGTGGCTGGTACATAAAAATATGAGCTTTCGAGTGACTTTCGAAGAATAATAAACTGTTAGTTGTTATAAGGGGCGCCCAAGGTACCACAGCACCTTTATCATAATCATTGGCTCACTGTGAACTGGGTCTCACGCTTATCACGTCCCACATTCACGCAGCTATCAAGTCGCGTGCCTAGTGGTAACGCGTGCGGCTTGTTTTAGGGAGGCACAAGCGACGAATCTCGACTGGTGCACGGACTACCCTGACTGAGAATTCTCGTAGTTGTCCTCAATCTCTCTGGGCAAACACCAGGATAGTACCTCCATTAGGCAACGACCTCATCAGTCATCCCACCTCCCGATGCTGTACGGTGTGGATATCGGCAAACAATGGGCGGTCCTCTCTACAGAAGTCTCCCACGAAGAATACTGGAGCTGGTATTTCAGACTTGACGACGGACCACATGTTGATAAACACGGTGATTGTCTTTGTTTAATGAGGCTGTCAGTAGCTCAGACTATATGGTGTCGAATGATACGATGGTAAATGAATTGGAAAGGATTTGGAAGGAAGCGGTAATGGCCTAAATAGAAGCTGACTTATGTCTCGAGGAAAACCATGAAAATTTCAGTCATGAAGCCAGTGCCATGGCGGAGATTCCAATGCGAGTTACAGGCTTTGCCGCTCTAACCGATTGGTTCGGTCTCGAGGAAAAGACAAGGCGTGGGGAATCACAAATTTCTTGACGTCATAGTTATGATTCGTACTGCGCCTTTTCCTCAAGGAACCCTGCGAAAGGAAGGAAAGTACGTCCTTGGGCTTGCATAGCACGTAGCAGATTCGTGTCTCATTGCTCCCGCCCTTTCCTTGACTGGGGCAGACGTCACAAAATTTCGCTACTGTCTCCTGCTGTGCCTTGGTCCGACAGATTTCCGGGAACACTCGCGCCAGCAGCACAGGGAAATGGGGAGGGAGAGGAACCACACGCCTG